ATATTTAAAGTAACTTGCCTTAAGTTACAATATGGTGCTTTGGTGTTTTGGTAAGTACATCTAAATACTAAGCCATCTGTATTTTTAAATTGAGATTTAATTGTCAAATAACATAAGTTTCATGTGTACTTAATGATTCAATATATGTATATATTACAAAATAGTCCCCACACAGTTACAATTTTCTTTCATGTGTGATGAAAACCTTTCAGATATACTTTCTTAGCAACTTTCGAGTATACAATAGAGTATTATTAACTATAGTCTCCATGCCACACATTACATCTCCAAGGCTTCTCTATTTTATAACTGGAAGTTTGTATCTTTTGACCAATTTCACACATTTTCTACTACAATTTTTTAACCCTTTTTTAATATCTAGGGTATTACACTTTTTTCTGTATAACTATGGGGTCAAACTGATACAACCCAAGTATGAGAATGAGGAGATAATTCTCCAGGCGTCTCTCATGTTTCTACTGTCCTATGGGTGAAGACACTGGCTGCTTCATTCCTGACTCTCTTTTTAAGGATGTTTGTATAGTGAGCAACATTGAAAGGTAGAGACAGTGTCTCCCTCTAAGCAAAGGGCAGGTTTGCTCAGTAACTAGTATCATATAGGTAACATCTTCCTATGCGGAAATGGTCAAGTATGTTTGCTTCAAGCTCATCATCAATGATTAGAGTTTCGCAAGCTTGGGGTTCCTCAGCTGTAACACAAATCCACTATGTGCACATCTGCATGGACTGCTCACTGTCTTAGAGGATGGAACCAAGACAAACAGGACAAGGCTCATGCTGCATGCTGATTCATTAGTATCCAGTCTTGTTTTAGACCCAGGAGTCTTGTCTTCTGACAGCAAACATCAAACTGTGGAAAGCTAAACTGCTGGTCTGCAACTAAGGTAAACATCTCAGACACTTTTTTTTTTTTTTTAATAATTGGGGTATAATCGACATACAGCATTACAGTAGTCCCCTCTTATCCACAGCTTCACTTTCCAGGGTTTCAGTTACCCACAGTCAACTGCGAACTAAAAATATTAAATGGAAAATTGCAGAAGTAAATAATTCATAAGCTTAGAAATTGCATGCCATTCTGAGTAGCATGAGAAAGCTTGTGCTCTGCTGCTCTACCCACCCGGGATCGATGTGACTCATCCTTTTGCCCAGCATGACCATGCTCTGTGAGCTACCTGCCTGTTGGTGTCGCGGTGGCCATCTCCGTTATCAGGTCAGCTATCTCAGTGTTTGTGTTCAAATAATCCTTATCTTACTTAATAATGGCCCCAAAATAAAGAGTAGTGATGCTAACAATTCAGAAATGCCAAAGAGAGGCCATAAAGTGCTTCCTTTCAGTAAAAATGTATGTATAGGAAAAAGCATAGTATATATAGAGTTTGGGACTACCTGCCGTTTTAGGCATCTGCTGGGGATTTGGAACATATCTCTTACAGATAAGAGCAACTGTATACTAGTTTTAAGTATTCCACATATGATTTAATATTTGTATATATTGCAAAACAATCACTACAGTAAGTCTAGTTAGTAACATCCGTCACCCTACATGCCTTCACAATTGTGACAATGAGAATCTGTTTCCCACCTCAGCACTACGTATTTTAGGATACATTTTAGTAGATTGTATCAGACAGCTGCCATTTTCACTGTCTACTTGCAATCTGAGGACTAGCAACATTTTAACAATTCATAGGAAAAGAGTATTAATTTTAAAAAAACTGTGTAATTTAAGCTTCTAAAAAACAGAATGGAAACAGCAAAGTGGCACAATGACTAGATTATTTGCTTTTCCTTTGCTTCCATTTTCATTCCTGTAAGGTACTAATGCATTATTGGATTGAATTTATGCACAAAATTAAACTGCACCGAATTATAATTAAGCATATGGTAACCTAATAAGTATATAGGAGTTCATAGTATACACAGTGTATTAACATTTGAATATATTTTTAACAGTAGTATAAACATAGTTATTATGTTGGTTAAAATGTGTTAAATATGAAGAAAGTATAAAAAATACCTGTAGTCTAGCTCATAAAGAAACACTAGACTGCCGATTCAGATGGAGAGATTTTGGGAAAATAGCTCGGCAAATCTTTTTCCATTTATTCTTTAATTTCCATCCATTTTTTTTCCTTCCTCCGCTTCTTACATCTTCAACACTAAGAGAATTTAATGAATTTGGTCTAGTCATCACTTTTACTGAGCATGGCTCATATCTATGCTAGAGAATGGACAAGAAGCAGCACTTAAATTTCCAGAACTTCTTTTTAATGGAATTCTTATTACCAGTACCTCCCTATTTTTCAACATAGTTGATGGCATCAACACTTATAATCACATTTAACTCTTCTCTTTTATATTAGTTTGCTAGATCTGCCACAACTAAGTAACACAAACTGGATGGTTTAAAACAGCAGAAATTTGTCTCAGAGCTCTGGAAATTAGAATCTAGGTTTCACCAAAGCTATGGTCCCTCGGAAATCTGTAGGGGAATCCCTTCCTCACCGCTTTCTAGCTTCTCTGGTAGTTCTTTAAGGATCTCTGGCATCCCTTAGCTTATACCTGCATCACTCCAATCCTGTCTTCACGTGGCAATCTTCTTCTTAAGGACACCAGTCATACTGGTATAGGGACCCGCTCTACTAGTATAACCTTATCTCAACTAATTACACCTGAAACGATCCTGTTTCCAAATAAGGTCACATTCTGATGTGCAGGGGCTCAGGTAGGCGGCAACTTGATCCAAAACACCTTCTCTTCTGTAGAAAATTGAATGAGTCACTAATCTGGTTAATCAGTCACTAAATCTCCTTAGTATCTTGCAAATCAGTATCTTCTCTCTCCTACAGCTACTCTACTCTCTCCATTCTCTCCCTCTCCTCCTCCCATCCCAAGACATCTGTTCTACTCTCTTTGCTTCTATCTTTAATTATCAACTCTCTACTGGACTACTAAAATAGTCTCTTAAACAATCTTGTCTTCTTGCCTACGGCTTCAATTACCCTTCCCCAATCATTCATGCTATCACCCAGATGACCTTTCTCAACCGGAAATCATTACCCCTCCACTGCCACCACCATCACCCTCTCCCACCCTCCAAAAAGTAGAAAAAATAAAAACCTTAAAACTCTTCAGTGGTGTACAGAAGAAATTTATATAAAGCACCTAGACTCATCTTTTTTTCACTTCCTCATATGCACTGTACCTCCCAGCTAAATCAAACTGCTTACTGGTTCACATCTCTTTGCTTTTACATATGTGGATCCTTCTATCTAAAATGTTCTTCTCTTTCTGAATACCTGCTGTATTTTAATATCTTTTAAACTCCCTTGGCCCACAAACAATTGTACAATTTTTTTGTGCCACTACACTTTTTAATATGTTCCTCTATTATTGCACTTAACACAAGGTGTTCCAACTCTAATACGCGGGGGGTTTTTTCCCTTTTTTACTACACCTGCAAAATCTGCCTCAAGGTCAGACATTTTTTGTACCCCTTGAACCTAGTATATTGCCTGTTCCATAGTAGATATTATTTTTTTTTGTAGTTTTTAAGAGTAAGACCTATTTTTAAAATTCTGCATGAGGGAAAGATTTTAAAATGTGCTACCAGAAGCGTTAAACTAAAAAAATAATTTAGGAAAAGAGGGGAAAAAATCACTGCTTACTATAAAGAATGGTTAGAATAGCTTTACGTTTTAAAAAATGCATTCACTACACGTGTATTAGAATGCCTAAAATTAAAACAAACCAAAAAAAGTGACAATACCACATACCACGCACTGAGACAACTGGACTCTCCTACCTGGTTCATGGTAATACAAAATAGTAGAGCCACTCAGGAAAATAGTTTGGCAACTTCTTATGAAATTAAACATGCACTTATGATATGATGAAGCTATTCCACTCCTGGTTAACCTAGAAAAATTAAAACTTAACACTCACACAAAAATCTGTGCATGAATGTTTATAACAGCTTTATTCATAATCACCAAATCTGGAAACCCAAATGTTCTTCAGTGAATGAATGGATAAACTGTGATACATACAAACAATGAAATATGAATCAACAATAAAAAGGCAAAACAGCATGGATAAGTTCTAAAATGCATTATACTGAAGCCAGTCTTTTCAAAGAAGCCAGTCTCAAAGGATTCCATGCTATATTATTCTATTAGTTGGACATTCCAGAAAAACAAAACAAAACAAAATTATAGGGAAGGAATATTTAATCATTCCCGGTGATTGCTGGGTTAAAATTAGGAGTCAGGGAAGGATTTGACTATAAAGGAACAGTATTAAGGGAATAATTTGGGGGGAGTGAGACTGACCTAAGTCCTGAAAAAGAGAATTTGTAAAAGAGGTTGGTGAGTAGAAAATGGCAAGCCTGGCTATTTGGAAAATTGAAAGGGTCTGTGGTGGTAATTCCCCATTCCAGAAACAGTCTTCATTACAAATGACCTATTCGTTTATTTTCACCCTTTAGAACTATACTGAATGTCCAAAAAAAGAAAAGAAAACTTTAAAATTCTAACTAACTTTAGAAGCATGCAGTGTTAGAATTTGGGATACTAAGTAAAAAATTACTGAGATATGGTATTATTGCTTCAGAATAGAATGTAAAAAACTCATGTACATTTCCAGACATGAAAAGGAAGTTTTTTTAAAATAAGGTATTTACTATAACTTAAAACTCTAACGTCATAAGTATAAGTTTAAAGCAGAAACATAAATTTTCATAAATGAAAAAAAGTATCATGTCATACTGATTTCTTTCTAAAAATCAGTTCTTTGAATATTTCTCATTGTTAAGTAATAATAACAAACATTTTCTTATACAGAATACTTAGGGGATGATAATTCTGAGATTAATATAAACTAATTGCTGACTAAAATATAAAATAAATTCTAGAATTCTTATATTGAGATATTATTTCATTTGTATAATATGTGAATGATTATTCTTCAGTCTTTCCTTAAACTTGCTCAGCCTTGGCAAAATCTGCTTCGTACTTCTTTTTGAGATTACTTAAATACATTCGTAAACTGTCTGGATCCAATCGAGAGTTTCGAGCAGTCTGAACTAGCCTCGTAGCTAGACGGTATACAGCTCTCTGTCTTTCCATCTCTGGGGTACTCCATTGGTTTTGCTGTTATTGAAAAAATATAAATAAAATTAAAATATGACTACTATGATTCTTATATTAAACTTTTGGTAATTCTCTATATCATTTAATAGAAATATAGAACTTTAGGGTTAACTAATCCCTTCAGACAAGTCAATTCTATTCAGTTAGCAAGGAATATACTAGAAGAGGTAAAGAAATATTACTTTGGAGAATAAAAGCTCTCATGAGTATTTACAACTTTATGACAGATCTTTATATCCTTGAAAACCACTTTTCAATGAAAAACAAAATCTGCCAGATAGGTCAAATATCTCAACCCCAAACCACAAAGTAACAGAAAATCCAATAGTGTTATGTTCTACAAACACTTCTTCATTAAAAGCTATGGGAAACAGCACTGCTCATTGCTATGCAGTATTCACATTTTAATTGTTACCCAAAAGTACCACTCTGCTTTCTCCTATTTTAATTCCCCAACAGATAAACTGGTGGAAAGAATGAGTCATCAATAAACTGCTTGTCCCTGAAAAAAACTCTTACATAGAAACTGCTAGAGCCTAAGAAAAAATACTACCTGAGAGGTAAATTACAATGTAAAAATAAGCAACATAATTAGCTACTTAAAATTATGCCTTAATTCTTAACAAACTACTTAAGGATACCTAAGAAATAATGTTTAAAATGGAATTTTCTAATGCATTGGAAGACCCTAATATTTGGTCCTTGAGTAGTACTTCAGGGTTGGAAGTACAGCTAGAAAATTCTTCATTCACTTCTCTACCTGAGCTAGATAGAGGAATGGGCATTTTCAATGTTAACAGTTTATGTAAAGTCTTAGTGAGCTTCCCTTGACTTAAAGGAAATAAAATCCCTCAACTCTGTCTCAATAACAAGCAATTTCAGATATTTTTCTACTTGCACTATAGGAAAAATAAATATGATTTCATGAGTAGAATAAGTATGTATTTACACATCTATTTAATACATTGATCAACTATCAGTTTATTATTTAAGTAATAAATATTTATTGAATATTATCATCTATATTCTGGGCACCGTATCTTGTGTGTAACATAGGAGATACAAAAATATCTACCTGACAGGATAATGGAACTCAAGATCAGTCTTACAACGTAAAGACATGTTTATAAGCAACTGATCTATGATAAGTCCCATGAAAATACAAAATACACAAAGGAAGAAGAGCTCACTTGCAGCTCAGATCAAGAAAATCTTAAACATAATGGTGTATTTGGAATGAATCTTGTTAGAGGAGCCCAGAAGGTAGGGCATTCTGGATGAAGGAAACATCTAGAACAGACCCATTAAAATGCATGGTATACTTACATAATCTTATTAGCCAATATCACCCCAATAATTTAAAATATTTAAAAATAAGCCCTGGCTGGTGTGGCTCAGTGGATTGAGTATTGGCCTGTGAACTGAAATGTTGCCGGTTTGATTCCCAGTCACAGGGTATATGCCTGGGTTGCAGGCCAGGTCCCTAGTTGGGGACGTGTGAGAGACAATGAATTGACACCCTTTCTTTCTCCTTCCTTTTCCCTCTCTCTGAAAATAAATAAATCTAAAAATTTCAAAGTAAGAAGGAAAGAGAGAAGCAATCAGGTTAAAACAATGAAATGACAAGTAATTCAGAGTGTCAGAAATGTTGGTTATATAATTAAGTAATGTTATTTAAAGTTGGAGTAGTAAACGTAAGAAAATTATAAAATAGTAGTTAACAAACTAAAAATCATCTGAAAGAAAAAAAGTGAAAAACCAAATACATGGACACAAACAATAGAAGGTAGTTACCAGAGGAATAGGGGTGAGGGTAAGAATGAAGAAAGTAAAAAGAGTCAAATATATGGTGATGGAGGGAAACCCAGATAACAGAGAGGTCAGGCCAAATTGCCAAGAAAAGGCACGGGGCAGGAAGAAAACCCCAAGGCAAAATTGAAGGTGGGAAGCAGCCTGCCTCCCTGTGAAGGGAGGGGCTGCTGGAGAAGGGAGCTTGTACAGCGTACGCAGGACTGGATACTCTGCCCTCTTGCTGAACATGAGACAGGAAGAGGGGCAAAGGCAAACATGGCCAGCACTGGTCCTCAATGATTGGAAAGCTGGGCACTCCTACTGGTTTTCGGAGCACATGGGATTCTGGGAGAGAACTTTCTTGCACTCCCCTGGGCAGGGGGTGTGTCAGCAGGTCTCCAGCAGGCCTGCCAACAGTGGCGATGGGAGCGCTGTGAGCAGAGGCCTGGGGGCACAGACTCTGCAAGATGCCTGAAGCTGGACAGCCACTGGAGACTAGCTCAGCCACCCATGTTTATGATACTTTGAGTAGGAAAAGAGGTTCCTGGTCTAACCTTGAACTGAGCTGGCAGAGGGTGACAAGGTGATTTTTCTTTGGGTGTCTTAGAGGAAACAGGCTTTGAGGCAGAAACTTGCCTTCATTTCCAAAGACCTTGGTGATAATAGCACGATGAACAGATTTTTGTTCTTGTGTTCTTGAACCTATGTAGTAGCTGTAATGACAGATATTTAAATAGCTATTTTTCATGTCATACTTTTTCTTTCCTTTTATTTTTGTTACCCAGGTATTTTAGGCAGACACTTACCATTACTTCAAATTATATGATTGTTAAATAAAAGATTCCTTTCTTTTCCACTGAGCTCTGTTCTGGAGATTTGCTTGATAGAAAGCAAATGATAGGACCACCCTTACTGGTTGGGTTCAGTAACAACTACACTTTGGGTGGAGAGCATACAATGCAATATATAGATGATGCATTATAGAATGGCACATTTGAAACATATGCAGTATTATTAAGCAATATCACCCCAATAAATTAAAGAAGAATCATCTGAAAACTGGTTAAAAATGTACATTCCTGAGCAACAAGAAACTACTGAATATCTAGAATGGTACCCAGTATTCTGGGTGATTTTAATGTAGGTAATCCTAGGGCTGAATTTTGAGATATTGTCACAGCAGACTTTTAACACTAGGTTTAGAAATAGCTGAAAGTTTTTGAGGAGGGAAACAATATGGTAAGAGCTATACATTAGGAGACAATTCAGTAAGAATATTATAGAATGGGCTGGAAAAGACAGAACTCACTACCTAGTCCTAATGAGAGGTGATTAAGAAGCAGGATTCATAGATGACTCTGATGGATCAATGGAATATTAGAAAATGAAGAAATCAGATTTTACAGAAGATAATAAATATAATTTTGGACCTATTAAAGAATACAAACATAAATTAAGGTTTCAAGAAATATGGAGAAAATATAGGATGGGGCCAAAGTAGATTTATAGTTGTATGAGAGAAAACATGCAAGTTGATTATTAAAATTGCTTTATTAACTCAAAATTATGTCACAATGGCACAGTAAACTACTTTTGCCCCATCCTAATATAAATTCAAAATTCAATAGGAAATAAAAATGGAAGCTGAGGAAAAATGAGATCACAAAATATATAGACTTTTAAATAAACAGGGCAAAATCTCCGAAATACTTTTATTTAATAAGTGGAATGATAAAAAGCCCCGATGAAGAAAGGAAAGAAGTAATCTAAGACGAGGGAGGATGAGAACATCTGGGGAAAACAGTTCCACAGTAGCCAAAAACAGGGAAGAATTACGAAAAGGGAAGAATGGTAATGTCAAATGCCACAGAAAGACCAGGAAAAAGAAGTGAAAAAAAAGCCATAAATTTTTATTATCACCTCATACTTAAGATGAAACTTTCAGTAGAGTGATGACAAGAAGATCCAGCTTACAACTGAGAAATGGAAGAAACCACTCTTAAGAAATTGGCAGTAAAATGAGAAGAAATATAGTTTGAGAAGGTAAAAAAAACCCCCAAAAAACAAAAACCCAGCTTAGAAGAAAACCTAAGCATAGTCATAGAAAAAGAAAAGCCATTCTAAAAAAATAGTAAGGATCCAACTCCTGTTGGAGGTATCATTTGCAAATATATTTTCCCATATGGTGGGTTCCCTTTTCATTTTGCTGATGTTTTCTTTAGCCATGCAGAAGCTTTTTATTTTGATGAGGCCTCATTTGTTTATCCTTTCCTTTATGCTAAGTGAAAAAAGCCAGGCGGTAAAAGACAAATACCATAAGATCTCACCTATAAGTGGAACCTAATCAACAAAACACACAAGCAAGCAAAATATAACCAGAGACATTGAAATAAAGAACAAACTGACAGTAACCAGAGGGGAGGGGGTAGAGGGTTGTCAAGGAACACGTATAAAGGACACAAGGACAAAGCCAAAGTGGGTAGGATTGAGGGTGGGAGGCAGTGATGGGTGGGGCGGGGCGGGGAGTGATGGGGGATAATGGAGACAAGTGTACTTGAACAACAATAAAAAAAATATACTAAGGATCCAAAGAAGTGAAAGGAAACTGATGATGTAACATTTTAATGGAGTTGGAAAGAAGGTAGAAAAGTTAAATAGGTTAAAAGATAATCTCTTCTTCCAAGATAAGAGGGAAGATAAATGGATGAAAAAAAGAAAATTCCAAAATAGAATTCTGAAGGGGAAAAGATTCAAGAACTCATCAAGATGATTTCAAATCTTTCAAAAAATATAGGAGGTGAATCTCTGTAGAGAGTGAGGTCATAGAGAGTTTAGGAACAATAGAAATGTTTCGAAAGAATTACTGTAAAGAAATCATACTGTTCAAGAAAATGGCAGGAGAAAACTAGTAAAATATTAAACTAAAGGTAAAATATGTGAATTTGTAATGGAAAAATTTAGCCTGTCTTTTTTTTTTTTAAATGGAGAACATAAGTTTCTTTTTGTTCACCTTCAACGACAACTTTGGGTACAAAACTATTTCCAGGTATGTATACTTTATTTGTGTGATTACATGATAACAGTTTTTCTGAGGAAAACAAAAATACCACCTCATTAAATATGCACATTAATAATAAGATTTATTATAATTCCAAAGGTTAAAATGTCCACCTTAGAATATAGTTTATCAAATAAAATTAGCCTGTCTCAAGTATATTTTGAGCATCATTGGAAAAGCCAAAGCCTGCAAGACTACTGAAAAAGTTGCCCAAAATTGAGAGGCTTTCAGAAGGAGAACACTGCCAAAATTACTGACAAAGGGATTCAAATGCAGTTAATTGGGAAAGTAAACTCAAAACAATAGTCCAGGAGTTCAAAAGATTGAAAGAAAGCATTAAAAATTGAAGGCAGGTTAAGAGTGTGAAAGACATAGGAAACTATTACTACTGAAGAACATTACATACAGTACCTAGCTCAGTTTACTGAACACTAGATTCTCAAAACAATATAAAACAATCTTGATACAAAATTTTTTGTTTCCAAATTTTAAGCCAACAGATGTGAGTTCAATTTTGGGGCTACTGAAGTCCCTTAACCTCTATGAACCTCATTTGTAAAAATGTGAGTAAACTAATACTTTTATTTTTTTTAATCTTTTATTAGACAAATCTGCTTCATGAAGAGTGATGAGGTTTATATATGCTAACAAATAAAACAGCTTTGAAAACTAAAATAATGTTAAAATGTGCACAGTGATTTTTACTTTTAATGCTTACTTTATATACATTTATTTTCTCATCAGAAAGTTAGTGTAGCAGTAATTACTGTAGGAACTGAGCTGTAACTTTTGTCTCCTATTAGTTGATTTACTGGAAAACATTATAATCAACTAAACCAAAGAAGTTTTAAGAAGAGGATTTTCTTTATTTGGAATTAGGATTTTTTTAAAAAAGATTTATCTATTTATTTTTAGAGAGGGGAAGGGAAGGAGAAAATAGGAAAAGAAACATCAATGTGTGGTTGCAGCTTGCACGCCCCCTACTGGGGACCTGGCTCACAACCCAGGCACGTGCCCTAGACTGGGAATTGAACTGGTGACCCTTTGGTTTACTGGCCAGCACTCATTCCACTGATCCACACCAGCCAGGGCAGAATTAGGTTTTTTATTTTAAATATTTTAACTATTAATATGAATTATTACATATTTAAATACAAGGCCATTACAAACATGTACACTGCTAGTATTTTCTTGAATTTGAAACACAATTCTTATTGCTAAAAATTTTCTTACCAAAATTTGTCTAGTAATTTGACTTGTGATCTCTTTGGCATCCAAGACAATTGATGGTGGGAGTGATGATACCTCTGCAGCTTTTAATCCTAAAATTATAAACAATGGGGCTTCAATATTTTCGCTGGTATCAGCGTTTCTTTTAACTAGTATTAATATTTTCCTTCCAGATTTAAACTTTCCTTCTCAGATATTTCTAAACTATTTGACAATTCTCAAAATTAAGTTTTCCAAAGTTCAACTTACCAATTATTAGATTTAAATATGTGTCCAAGACATATTAGGCAAATTAGATCAATGACCTATCAAGATACCTCTGAGATACAAGAAAATATGTTAGGGAGAGGAAAAGAGGTAATTAGAAAACTGAGTAATAGTGATAATATTGGAATTGCAACTACAAATGCAGTTGGTTAACAGAAGATAAACGCATATATAGGTTTTGCGAGGGAGGAGAATGTGTAGCCACAGAGATGACCCTCTAGCTGAATGTTCCTCTCTCTAGCAGATCAATGAGGGATGAATTTCTCAGAAGATATACTGGTAGGTTATTACTCTTCATGAAAACTCAAAATACCAACTAGCAGTCTTCATGTTCTCAGAGTTTAATTTTATTATATTGTATGAATGCCATATACACTTACTACTGTTTGCTAATAATTTATTGTATTTATTGCTTTAGAGGCAATAGAAGCACACTAACATTTACTTAGAAGTTGGTAATTGCTAGGCACTACACTGGGTAGTTCATATTTGACTATTCACTTAATCTTCACAAGCTCACATATATAGAAAATTATCCCCATTTAATAGATGAAATTGAAGGTTAAAAAGATTAACCATCTGATACAAATTAAGCTATCCATTTGATTTCCTATTTCAAAGGGAAAAAATTTTTTTTTCCTTCTCCCAAGTGTCATGTTTACAGCTAAAATAATTTTTGGAACTATACATATATAAATCAATTGAAAATTCTCTGAATCCATGAGATTTCATACATGTCAAATAATAATAATATATATAATATGTAACCAAGTTTATAAATATCATATGCTTTGGTAATATACCTCATTTTAAGACTTTAGATTTAATTATCAAGTTCCCAGCCTCTGAAGAACACAAAGAAGCCAAGTAATACATAACTCTCAATTCTTATAGAACTTACAAATATAGACTAAATTACATTTTTCTAAGGATAGATACCAGTACTTCTGGGGCCTTTATATGTTGCAATTCTACAAAGTTACTGGTTAATATAAGTTTTAAAATAAGCTTAATATATATCAAACATAAGTTTGACATAGAAAACACAGTCTTAGAGCATTTAAGCACTTGAAGCAATGAGAAAGTACTTAGATTGAAAGCCAAGTGAAGGGGGGAAGAAAGTTTCTCTTATGAGATATGTAGACTTTCAGTGTATAGATATCATTTCTACATGTAATACCGTAATTTTTTTCTTCTGTGAATCCCTTACAAAGTCTGTAGGTATATAAGATTGCTTCTTTATTTCTTGAAGTGTTCTTCACATGTTGAACTTCAAAATGCATGTTTTCTACATTAGGATACAGGACATCTAGGTGGCATAGCTCCAAGAAGTGTGTAGCAAACAGTGTAAATGCCTAGAATATATAATAATTAATATCAATACTTTTTAAGTGAATGAGAGAATTCTATTTTAATTACTTAAACATAAAATTTAGTTCAGTTTTCCAAGTAGGTTAACAGAAGTGTAGGAATGAAACTAATAACTTTAAGGATAACATGGTAGATTCACTTTAAGATGTTTCGAAAATTCATATTCAGTGAAGGACAGCACATAAGAGGGTTTCTGAAGAACCTTGCTGCAGTCCTGCAAGATACTGCCACCTAGCTGGCACTGTAACTGAGTCTTCAAAAGTCCATTTCACTGTTCTGTCAAGGCAGCTGTTGGGGAACACAATAAGACCAGTGAATTCCATGAGCACAGGCCCAATTCTGCACTTCACTTGCTAGGAAATGAGTTCTTGATCAAAAGCAATTCTGTGTGGGATATGACAACAGTGAATAAAGCTTTCTCTTAAGTTCAGGGATGGTAGTTTTGGCAGAAGCAATAAATGCAAAGAAGGGAAATCTGTATCCAGGTTCAGTACTTAGCCCAATAAGAACAAATTGCTGCCCCTATTTGATGAAAATAGTTCAATGCAATCAACCTGCCATCTGGCAGCTGGCTGGTCACCTTGGGAGATGATGCCATATCGAAGGCTCAGTACTGGTTTCTGTTGCTGGCAGATTGAGCACTCAGTAGTGGCTGTAGGCAGACTGGCCATAGTGAGGGGAAATCTATGTTGCTGAGTCCATGCCTAGCCTCTCTCCATGCCATTGCGGCCACTGTGTTCATGAGTCCATTGGGTGATAGCAGGAGTGGCTGGGGAGAGAGGCGGACTGGTATCCACAGAATAGATCATCCTATGCACTAGATTATTAATATCCTCCTTTGCTGAGGCCACAGTTTGGTTGAGTATTCTCATGGAACACAAATATCTTCACATTTTTTCCCTTTAAGACAAATTTATACACACACCTCTTCCCCAAATTTTCTTGTCACCAATTTTCTAAGCATGTTCCTTCCAAGTCCCAGCCACAGCATATGAACTGGTGTATAATCACGTATCTGGCCATTTCATGTTCTGTGCAAAATGAACAAGTTAGGTACTCTGCCTGAAGTCCTGCCCACTCGGACAATTTTCCTTCACTACTGTCATTCAGGAATGTCCCAGTAAGGGGATGCACTTCTGCAGCTGTCCACTTTCTGGTGGCACTTGAATATCGTGCAAAACCATCTGTAAACCAGGAAAATCTTCTCTTCCTCTGTCAAGGGATCCTACAGGATCTTCCCATGAGGTCACAAGTATAGGCTGAGAAGGAGTGCAGTGTACAGGCATGGGGACCATGAACATTTAGGCAATTTCTTCATGTAACTTGCTCATACCTTCATTGCTGGCTCAGGCTTGATCACCTATATACCACGTCCATTTGATAACAGAGTGGTGCTGTGTATACCCAACTTAATGGCTGGTTGGTCATATAACACCCAGTTCACAATGGGCAGCTCAGGTTTCATGATAACTTGGTAGCCCATGGCTAATTGTTCAGTCTCTACTAAGGCACAATAGAAGGCCAAGTGTTATTTTTCAAAAGGACAGTAGTTATCAGCAAAGGATGGTAGGGCTTGCTCCAAAATCCTAATGCTCTGTGCTATAATTCACCTACAGGGCCCTGCCAAACAGATCTCCATCTGCCACTGACACTTCAAGCACTACTGAGTCAGCTTGGCCATGTAGCCTAAGTAGCAGAACAGCTTGCATGGCTGAACATGCTATTGAGCCTTCTCTTGTTCTGGGCCCCACTCAAAACTAACGGTTTTCAGATCACTTGGTGAAGGGGCCAGAGTAACACATCTAAATGGGGATTACTTTGCCTCTAAAACCCAAAGGCCAGCTACATATGTTGCCTCTTTTTCAGTTGTAGGGGCTAAATGCGCTAAATGTAACAAATTGTCCTACACCTGGGGACCCCTAGAAATTCCATTGAGTTATAAGGGCCCTCCCTGTACTTTTGTCAGATATATTTCCCCCATCTGACACAGATGTCTTACCAATAAATGTAGAGTAGTTGCTACTTCTTGCTTACTGAACCCACTCACTCACTGTAATATTATCAATATAATGGACCAGTGTAGTATCTTAGGGCAGGTTAAGTGATCAAGATCTTTGCAAACTAAATTATGACACAGGGTTAGAGAACTGATACACCCCTGATGTTGGAAGTGTGCTGTTGACATTGCCAGCTGAAAGCAAACTGCTTCTGGTGGTCTTGATTCACAGGTAGAGAGAAAAAGGCACTAGCTAGATCAATTAGCTGCATACCAGGTGCCAGGGGATGTGTTAGTTTTCTCAAGCAATGAAACTTCATCTGATACAGCAGCTGTGATTACTGTCACCACCTGGTTAAGGTTATGATAATCCAATGTCACTCTCCAAGATCCATCTGTCTTCTGCACAGATCAAATACGTGAGTGTAATGGAGATGTGGTGGGAATAACCACCTCTGCATTCATGTTCAAGTCCTTGATGGTGGCACTAATCTCTGCAACCCCTCCAGGAATGCAGTATTGCTTCTGGTTTATTATTTTCCTGGGTAGAAGCAGTTCTAGTAGCTTTCATTTGGTCTTTCCTACCATAATAGTCTCTACTGCACAAGTCAGGGAACCAATGCGGGAATTCTACCAGCCATTGAATACATCTATCCCAATTATGCATTCTGGAACTGAAGGAACAACCACAGGATGGGCTGAGGACCCACTGGGCCAACTGTGAGATAGACCTGAGCTAAAACTCCATTTATCACCTGACTTCCATAAGCCCCTACTCTGACTGGTAGACCCCAGTGATGTCTTGGAAGTCAGTTTAGAGACAGTGCCGAGCAGTCCTCAAAATGTGTGATTTCCTTTTCCCCAATATGCAGTTGCCCTGGTAAAAGGGCATAGGTCCCTTTAGAAAAGGCTGGGAGAACAATTAAGAGAATCAATTTTTGGCAGTGCACCAGAGTCCTTCCTCAAGGGGATGTAGTCTCCCTTTATTTAAGAGGTTCTAGGAGGGAAAAAAAAAAAAAAAAAAAAAACAAAAAAAGGGAAGAAAAAAAAAAAAATAAAACATAAATTAAAACCAACAAAAAAAACCAAAAAAAAAAAAAAAAAAAAAAAAAAAAAAAAAAGAAAAAAAAAAAGGGGGGGGGGGGGGAGGGGGGGGGAAAGGAAGGGGAAGAAAAGGAAAAAAAAAAAGGAAAGAAGGAAAAAAAAAAAAAAAGGGGGGGGGGGGGGGGGGGGGGGGGGGGGGGGTTCTGGGCTATAAATCGGCTCAAGTTTAGAAATTGGTTAAGAAGTTGGGATTCTCTGCTTTTATGATTCAGGATAGACTTTTGTTCTCTTGACCTAAAACTTTTATGCTTATACAGATCGAGGAATAATTTAATAAGCTTCCTATCTATTTCATATCTAGAGACACCATAATCAACTAGCCAATACCACAGGTCTCACCAAGATGAGACTATTCTGATTGCTGCTTTGACTCTGCTGTCTGTTTTGGTAACCACTCCCACCTTGCCTTTGATGGTTGAGTGCCACCAGTTGGCCCCTGTTACCCTGAGGTCCAATTACTCCCTTGTATTTAGGTTTCCCAATTCAGTGATGCCACCTTCCAATGCAAGGTCTGGCCTACAGAGAAAAGCAATCACAGAGCACTTCAAGGATGCTAGGGCTCTCCTCACAAATTCATTTCTCACACTCATAGTGAAAAGTATGTCTTTTGGACCTGTCCAGGGTGGGTGAGTAGGTCTTAAATGGTAAATCCAAAATAACAGTCCAATCTCTTTCGAATCCTTTCCTCTGTGAATGAAAAAAAGGGGTTCCATGGAAAGTAACTTCACAGGGCATCTGATGATAAATTCCTAACTGGGCAGGTTATAGTGAATAGTCATGTCCCTGGCCTGTAACTTCTTTAGCGAAAAGTTTTAAGCCATCCCTGTCCTTTGTTCTTGTAGGTTACCATACCTTTGAAATAGGACATGTGATTACCCTAGAAGGGGATATTAACCCTGAGGAAACCACATAATTTTAAGTGTCCTGTAATCCAATGCCCACTTTGTTTTTCTGACCCCCATGTAATCTTCCTTATGTTTCTCCCATAATTTCAAATGCATAGAGGAAACTGCAAAACTGTTACTCCCTGGAGCATTTGAGATCATGCTCTCTGGTACTTGTCAGTTTGGTTCAGATAAACTCTAATAAAAATTCTCTACAGGTTTAGACGTTTCTTACGTTGAGATCTCTACATTAAGGCAAGGTAGATCCAACATTTCCAACTTACTGTGGACTACCTTATGGTTCATATTTCAACCAATCAACCAAATATCCCAACCTGCAACATTAAATGCAAAATCTCCTCCTAGCAAGTCCATATCAATAAATTCAGTCAAATCCAACTTTATGTTCCTGATATTTGGGATAATTATATCCATATCCAGTTCCTTAATATCCTGTTCCCTAAATTTCTATCTGTATAAATTAGATACAGATAATTCTTTTGCAGTATAGTGTACCTCCTCATGGGCCATACTTTGTACCCCATCTTTAGGGACTTCCGAGGGCCCCCATCTAGTTATGGTCTAAAAGCAAAGAAGGTTGCTGAGGATGGACACAAAGAAAAATCAGCATTGTCTTACATGGCAATTGCCTCAGGAGAGGCCATTAGTTTCTTCAGGCAATGTAGAGTTAATCCACTCAGACAGGAGGCCTCTTCCACTTATCTGGTAAACTTATCAAGTAGACTTATCAGAATTTTGAGGCTCAGTGTTCCCAGCTTCTTCAGGGTCTTCCCACATTCTTTCTGGATCCCATTTCTTCCTAATCAATACTCTCAATTTAATAAGAGAATTGCAATCATATGGCTAAGAGTTCAACTTGCACTGCAATTCAGCCAGTCACAGGAAGAGATCTAGGTCTAATTTTCAAGAACCTCAGTCTTGTGGCTACAGAAGGTAAGCCTCTCCTTCAGGGCACATGTAGAAGCTGTCAGGTCATTTATATAGAGATTTATGCAGGTGTTTGAATCCCTGAGCTCCTTATTTTCTTTCTCCATTTTGTCCAGTAACATTAGCACCAACCAGCCAATCTCATTATATTTGTTGGTCTGCCAAAAATATTTTAAAGTATCATATATACAGTGACGTATCTCCTTGCTTCTTTGCAGGTAGTTAATTAAGAATATCCAATGGTGATATTTTGCATATTTCTATTGCCAGGCCACACTATGGACTACCAGTGCTTTCTTTACTGCTGGAAATAGTCATTAATATCTTATTTAATCATATTAGAGAGTCAATTCCAGAAACACCAGAATCAATTCAGAAAGCTCGTCCTTAAAATTCTCTTCCTTTAGGGCCATTCTTAATACCAAAATTTATATTTTTAAAGTTTCCCATAAGAAACAGAACTAATAGAGGTGTGTGTGTGTGTGTGTGTGTGTGTGTGTGTGTGTGTGAAAGGAAGAGAGAGAGAGAGAGAGAGAGAGATTGATTTATTTATTTTAAGGAATTGGCTCATGTGATTATGAAGACTGACATGTCCCCAGATCTGCAGTGAGCAAGCTGGAGACTTAGGAGAGCTGATGGTGTAGTTCCAGTCCAAATGCTGACAGGCTCAAGAATCAGAAAGAATTAATATTCCAGTTTGAGTCCAAAGGCAGGAAGAACCAATACCCCAGAGTGAAGGCAGTCAGACAGGTAGAGTTAACTTCTTACTCCCCAGCCTTTTTGTTCCACTCAGGACTTCAGGCGGGCCCCACCCAGTCGAATGGGGCCTGCCCACATTAGAGAGGGCAATCTGCTTTACTGATTCTACCAATCCAAATAATAGCCTCATCCAGAAACACCCTCACAGTTACACCCAAAACATTGTTTGACCAAATGTCTCTGGGACACTCTGTAGCCCTGTAAATTAACATAAAATTAACCATCAGAGATACGAATTAGCTTTTAATCCTAACAAGTAACACGCACACACACACACACACACACACACACACACACACACACATCTTTCTCATATGAGAAATTCTGATTAAATGACATAGATTTAGAATTACAAAGACTAATTTTACCCAATAATGTTATTTTTGACTCATCACACAACTTTAAGTATAAAATAATATTATTTTCATTCTATATAATAAATCATGGACTCTTATTTAAGGTATTAAGGTACAGTAAATCATTATGGACTCAGGAATATTTTAAGGTACTTTATATATGAAAAATATTTTTATTTAAGTTTTTTCATATCTGTATATATTTTGAGTGATAATCTAAAAAGTAATTTTACAGATTAGCTTAATAATAGAGCAAAAATCATAATTTGTTTTATACAATTCATTAACTTAAAAACATTTTCTTTAAAGGAATGAACTCTCAGGTAAAATATTAATATTTTCCATAAAGTGACCTCACTTTTATTTCATGCTATGACATCGTAGTCAATGTTATTACACATAGCGATAATTATTGAAACGCTTTCATGGTTTGCTATTTATTGTGATAAAAATTAAGGCCAAGTTGACTATTTTAACATTATTTGTACTTCTTGATTTCCTCCTTTCCTTGTCTCCATCATGACTATCATACCAATCAGTCCTACTTCCATCAGAAATAAAGTAACACAAATATAAATGCTACAGTAATTTTTATTACCTAAAATTATTTAAAGAGCTATTTATATGTGCCTGCAAAACCCAATCATGATAAATATATAAAAGACACATCAAAAAAGGACTCAAAATTAATATACTTAAAATAGAGAAGAATACCTTTAAGCTCAGCAGATATTCACAAACAGCATAACAAATGCCAATACCTTCTTCTGTATTAGTACCTCTGCCAAGTTCATCAATTAATATGAGTGATTTGTCATTAGCATTATGTACAATATATGCTATCTGAAAAATATAATTTCAACATTATTCATTATAACCAAACAGCTGCCACTGTCATAAAAAATGAAGAAAAATCCAGACTCTCTATTAGTTTATTTGAAATATATTTTTATAGAGAAATCCAGCAGAGCAGAAACTAACACACTGCTTTCTAAAAATCTCGTGACTAATAATTCCAAGAGAATAGCTGATGTATATACAGACATAAGCATATGTTTATTTATCTAAATATATTGATGTTTTAGAAACAGTGAAATAAACAAAGCAACAAATTAAATGTTTAAATAAAGCATAAAATTGGTCATTTTCTTCTCTACAATTGACTAATAAATTGTCATAAAATATTCAAAACTCTCTCTCAAACTTATTGTCACTTCTCTGTATCATTGTAAAGATGGAAAGAAAATTTTCAAAAAAAGCACCCAATCCATGTCCACAGATTCCTGGTTAAACAAATAAATTTAAATCCATGCCCAACAAAGACCAGGACTTTAATTAATAGACATGATCCTTCTCCACTTAAGATTATTATCCTTCTTCTCGGAAAAAAAGAAAAAGAATTCCACCTTTATTATGTAATGACACAAGAGTAACCTTCATGGCCATTTTACCTTGCTATGGGATTAAGCTTCATGAGAATTAGGACTATTTAAAAATAAATATAACTTAAGCACCCATGTTCTCCCACAGATATTCCATATATCCTATTAATAATATATGAATGTCACATACTATGGGGAAATGATAACTTTATTCTCCCTCTATCTACAGAAAATTAGCCAACTATATAGTGATCCAATAATTTCTACCTGTCAAGGATAGGCCAAGGGCTATACTGAATTCCTTTAGCCTTTCAAGCCTACTTGACAACTGCTCAGATCATAAATAGGTGATGGTACATACTTTGTTACAGGAAGTGAAAATTCTATAAAACCACAGAACATGTAATGATTTTTAAAAGCTTTCTCACACAGTGATCTTTTGTTTTAAAAATAAGTCTAACAAGAACAATAGATATTATGCAAAATGTTCCTGAACAGGTCCTCATTTTCTGAGACTTTCATACATCCCATACAAAAACATGAAAGTACATTTTTATCATTCAATGACATTACTTTTTCTTTAAAAACTGTATCTTTCAATAAAACAATCATTCCCATTTCCACATAATACAGAAATTAGGAAGCTGTCTTTGACTGCCCTCTGGCTCTTGAAGAGTAGTATAAGCACATCTGCATGTTTTGGTTTAAGAATAATTTCTTACATGATGATTGACCATTGGTGGCAGAATTTAATGTTTTTAACAGAAGAAAAGTTTGGTTTGGGTACCTCTTTCATTTCCTTCATAAATGTTGATGAATTTGTTTCTATATCATCATCAGTACTGATTCTTGTAAAAATCTGTTCAGCAATTCTAAAGGAAGAATATTCTGCTGGAACATATGATCCTATAAAACATAAGATAAAAGTACACTGAAATGCTTTTGTAAAATGTTAAGTACTAACATTTTGCATTTGCCACCACCTCAGATTATTTACTAGACTATCTAAGGATTCAGTGGTGAAAAGATCACTGAATATAGAGTTAGAAAATATGTCATGTATTGTATAACCTTGGACAACACTTAAATTCTCCCAGGCTTTTTCGTATATAAAATAGAATACTTGCCCTACCTATTGTAAAAAGTTATTTGAAAGTTCAAATAAAATAGTGTATACTCAAGTACATCAGAAAGGTTTGTTATAAATGTGATAAAAATTTTAAATAACAGAAGATAAAAAGTATAAAAATTTTATAAAAATGCTTATGATGCTAAAGTTGATAAAAATCATTATAGAAAAGTATTGTAGAAAATATCTGTTGATAGAAATATACACAATCAGAATGAAAGCAAATATTTAATTTCTTTTAAAGTTGAATTTTCATTCATGAGACTGCTTCTGCCTGAGAAGTCATCAGGCTAACTAAAATATTCTTCTGAAAACAAATCTATCTGATTAATATAATTACCTCTATATTATGGAAAGGCATATAAAAGGCATTCTGATATCATAAGAAGATAAAAATGTACAAATAGTTGAATGGGAAAGTATCAAGTATACAGAGCTCTATACAGACAAAATGGTGAAATAATGGGAGTAAATAAACAAAGCCAGATAATTCCAGAATTTAAAACAAAGGTAAAGATGAAGAATAGGATCTACGTCTAGTAATAAAAACTAGTAGGAAAAGGAAGCAAAAGTCAGGACAATACTAATACAAATAGGAATAATAATAACAATAGTAATCCTAATGCTTGCACCCCAGAGAGCAGGTTTATTAAATATAAGTTATAAGATTATCAGAAGAATTAAATGAAAAAATAAATGTGAAACTACCAAGTATAGAATACAGCATATATGATGTATGTTTATATTTTCCTCTCTCTTAAGTCCATCAAAAAGACTCTCAACTTTTTAAAAAAGATTTTATTTATTTACTTTTGGAGAGAGGGGAAGAGAGGGAGAGAAACATCAATGTGTGAGAGATAACTCGCATGTCCCCAGCTGGAGACCTGGCCCGTAACCCAGGTATGTGCCCTGACTGGGAACTGAACTGGCAAACCTTCTGGTTTGCAGGCTGGCGCTTTTCTACCTGAGCCATACCAGCCAGAGCAAGTGTCTCAACTTTTTTTTTTTTAATCTATATTATTAGAGAAGCCTCCTGGCTAGTATTTTGCTTCTGGTCTGGCTTTCATCTAATCATATATCAACCAGAGTGATCTATCTAAAAGTCAAATCCAATCACACCATCTTGCTTAAATTTCGAGGGCTCCCTACAGATTTCTAGATAAAGTTCAGTCTCCTCAGTTAAGTTCCTAAGGCCCTTCGTGACCTGACTCCTCATACCACTCTTTGCTCTATAAAGCAAAGGAACTACAAAGCCTCTGGACCACTTCTAGTTCCTTGGGGATACCATACTATTTTTTTTTTTTTTTTTTTTTTTTGCTTCTATGCTTAAGAACATGTTCTTACTTCTGCCTGAAAAGTCTCTTTTTCATACTCTTTCTGTAAGTCCATATCATTTTATATACATTTTGTTACATAATCTTTACTATTCTCAGAAGTGGGTAGTATTTTAATTTCATTTACAGATGGAAAATTAAGGAAGTTAAATAATTTGCCTAAGATCACACAGCTAGTAGCTTGACATACTTAGTTCCAAAGCCTATGTTCTAAATGTCCATGCATCACAGAATAATCTAGTCTGTTCTTATAATAGCCCTTCAAATATTTGAGAAAATTATTCTACTTCTCTTGTCACTAAATTATTCTGCAATGCATGGAAGAATTATGACTAATGAGTAGAAGTCATAGAAATTCAAATTTCAATTCGATATAATGAATGCTCTAACACAGTGCTGTCTAATAATTGGATGGCTTATTTTTTAAAGGACAGAGTCTCCCATAACCAAACAAATAAGATTGTCACAAATGAATATGTATTCTTATAAGAAAGAAGGTACCTAAGATAGTATTTTAATTCCAATAAAACTAAGAACTTGATAAACTATTTACCATTCACTCAATTTCAATAAAACTAAAAACTTGATAAACTATTTACCATTCACTCATTTATTCATCTCTGATTTTTCTTTCTCAGTAATAAGGGTAAATTTGCACTGTATCACCTATATTATGATTGTTGTGTTCTCCTTACAATCATTATATTAGACCAGAGCTTCTCAACCACAGCACTTGACTAACATCTTGGGCTAGATGAATCACTCTTGTGTTGAGGAGTGGGGAGAGGTAGGGAAGCTGTCCTGTGCACTGTAGGATGTTTAGCACCATCCCTGGACTCTATTGTTCCCTCACCAAAACCATTTTGTGACACCAAAAATGTCTCCAGATATTGCCAGATAACAGTGAGAAGGGGAAACCAAATCACCCCCAGTTGAGAATCACAGTATTAAGACCAATCATTTCTGATTTATATAGTCTCGTGGAAATCCAGTTTTCAGAGATAAGCAGCTGTGCCTGCATACCAAGAAATACGTAACAATGCTGAGCCAGTGACAGCCATTTATATGCGTATGTGTGCATGTATGCGTAATATATCAATTCCTGTGAACAAGTTATTGGTACTTCTTAAATAAAATAAGGGAAATGCTTACTTGACCAATGTTATAACTTTGGGAAAATCTTATATGGGTTATTAAAGACAGTAACTTATCCTACTTATTTAATGTTTTCTCACAACTAAGTTTACTTTTGATAATTATTCTGTTTAGCAATAATTGATACCACATTAATAGTTATAGTAAGAAAATCTCTACTTATGTTTAATTTCACGGATTTTTTAGTTTACTTGAATCCAAAACTGGATGGACCTTAATAACTACCAAATCTTAAAAATTATGGTCTACATACTACACACTACTAAATATACTTTTAGGTAAGAAAATCTACTCTAAACTGTTCTTGGGTTAATTAAGTACCTGGATCTAAAATATCAGGCAGAATTGGGAAGCAGAATTGGTAACTATAAAGCAAGACATAACTTACCAATCTGGGCCATAATCTGACAAAGTGCAATCTGTTTTAAGTATGTGGATTTCCCACTCATATTTGGTCCAGTTATAATAATAAAATTACTTCCTTCTGTAATATAGGTATTGTTGGCAACAGGTTTTTCCACAGATATTCTTTCAAGAACAGGATGCCATCCCTGTTTGATTGCTAATGTATCAGTAAACTCTGGCCGAACTAAAGAAAAAAATAGAGTGGTTTTGAAAGATTAGTATATATTTATATTGAAAGATTTAGTGGTATGTACATACTGTGACACCTTAGTGACTTTACTAGGGTCAATTCAGAACAACATTAAGGTATTATTTTATCCCAAATAATATATAAATATATAAATCCCTCTAAATTATACCTGACACACTCTAAACGCCATCACTTTCATTCACATCTAGGGAACTCTAGGATTTAGTACCCTACCATCCTAGCCTCCAGAAAAGTTCTAACATTTTATTTGTATAGATTAAGAACAATCAACTAGCCACTGGTAACAGTTTTAAAAACTGTAAATTACTGTACTACAAAATTATATATTACTAATTCCTACCTTAAGCATTCTTTCAAATCTGGCATACTTAGCTTTTCAAGTGAGGTATAAATATAGAGTAAAACCAAATATAAAAATAATTTTGTGTCCAAACCCTCATAGAAATTTCATCTAAAACAAAATCTCAGGGGCTAGAGAAAACATACACAGAAGCTACTGTTGATTTATAGAAGCGATAATGATCAGGTCTCTATGGATACTTTTCTGAGGTAAAGGGAGAAGGAAGAAGGTGGGAGGAATGTAAAATGCTAATTCCTATAGATGAAACACATAGATAAACATGAAAGTATTCATTATAAAAGTTAGGATGGTTAGAAAAAAATATTTCTAGTTATTTTAAAATATTTTTAATACCAAAAAAATCATTATAGGTTTGGAGTTTCAAGATGGTCCCTCTCAAATTAAAATGAAGCAACATAAAATATCTTAATAATTAAGAAAACTAGTGTTAAGATTAGCTGATCCAACTGTCTTTGACCCAAAAGAAATACAAAAGATTGAAAATTTTGGGCCTACAAAATACCAAATGAAAAAGTTTCCATGAAAACTATGAAAATATGTAAAAAGAATTTTATAAGATATTTATTTCCCATTATAAAAACAAATTAACATAATATTTTGGAAATGTTACTGGTGATTATAGAAAGAAATTCTAATGTTATTAAGTTCATAATTATTCAACCTTAATTATCACATACTAGTTCTGCAAATTTGTATACTGAAGTATGGTTGTTACTAGTAAATTGAATAAGAAATTTCAAGGGAATAACTTGAAGTATTCATTTAACATTAGAAAATTACTTATTTATTTTCAAGGCCTGTACAAAATATGATATAACTCCTGATCCTGGGATGCTCACATGTAAGGAGCTCGTTAGAAAATGCTCACTTTGGAGATTCATTTCTCTGATGTCTATTAGTATTAGTCATACTGCTTCTGAGTCTTCAGAGTGAAATTTCATAATTTGGATTATTGTCATTTTCACCAAGGAGATAGCTCTGTAATCTTTCTTATTTTGGGAACATTTAAAAGCTCTTACAGTTTTTTCTTCTGATTTATCAATTTCTCTGTAAATAATTTTCTGACTTTTAAAAGAAATTTTAAGGGTAATTTCAGTTTCTCTATTTTGAGTGAGCCTAAGACTAGAGGCAAGAGACTATATTTCAGGTAAAAAAAGTAAAACATTCATAATTATTATATAAAATTGCTTGAATGGAATACAAGTTTCAGTATGCAACATATTTATTCCAAAGAAAGTAACTTACCATAGTCAGAAAGAGTGCAGGCATGAGCAAATGACAGGAGCATATCCAGCATTGACACAGTGTCAGACAGTTTATATAAACAATGAATATATTCATAAATCTCACTAAGCAGTTTGCACACTATCCTGAAAGTACATGTTTGGTAAGATGAGTAATACTTTCTACAAATGGATGCACAATGTAATTATAAAACAGTATTAAATTCATTACCTGAGGTAAAATAACATTCACATTTGAGTTGGACACTACAGATATTCTATTGTTCTACTGTCTCATTGTATACATGAGGAAATTGAAGTTCATACTCTAGGTCAGAGCTACTTAATAGGAAAGAAGTTTTCTGGTGTGTTAGCACCATGTTTTTTAAATGACTGCATTTAAGTAAACCTTAATGAAATAAACTTATTAATGAAAGTATTTTTATATAAGTTCTTACTATATTTCAACAGATCCTATCTGCTAATAATTTTGTAATTTTACATATTAAATTCACCACAAAATATATCATGTATTTTCTCTCACTCATATTCTCTCTCTCTCACACACACACACACACACACACCCTGACAATATAATTTTTTAAGCTTTTATGTGGCACAGTTATCATAATTGTGACATAACAGACTTTTCATTACAAGGAATAATATGTTTCCAAAATGTATTGTGTCTTATAATCTCCGTGGTCTATGCCCTGACATTGCTTTGAAAGCCCAACAATTCCCTTTATCATCTCAGCCCACCAATTCTAAATGTCCTATTTCTTATTTCTGGCTGTATTGCTGCTCTTTCATGAATGGCAAGAGACTGGCAGTACTGTAATGTTACTGTATAAGTAGTAAGGCATGAGAAGTTGAAGGGCTTACACAGCACAGAAAAAGACTGAACTGAGTAAAACTTGCAATAAGTCCATGATGTGCCAAGTTCTACATTATGGTGGAAGTCAGTAATAATGTGGTTATTTGGCAACTAGATTTGCACTAAAGCTTCTGTGAGGCTCACTATTCCCAATTACAATGACAAAATTTTAACTGTCCAGGAATATTCTTTCTTTGCTAACATTTTTTCTGCAGTCAGAAAAAAAATTCCATTAATAAAATTTATTACAGTGCCTCAAATTAAACCAATTTAATTTAATATTCAAAAATTTCAAATGCTCTTACATATAAGTCATGTGATAGATTTCTCTCAAAGACTCTTGGCATCTTTCATTCATTTTAATTAAATCTGCTGATGTAAAGCTATAAGAATTTTTCACTTTAGAAATCTGTTCAGAAAGTAAAGAACAAAAGTCAGGATACATGTACACTCCTATGAAATAAAACATATAGATATTAAACAATAAAAATATAGATATTTAAGTTAATTACTTTAATTTTTCAGATATAGTTTCACAGAGAAAGTCCCAAATAATGTTTATGAATGAGAAAAAGATCACTTCTAAAGGTAAAGCAGAATTTTTTTAACTTAGTCCCTCAGGTATGACTATTTTTATACGTCTTAAAATGACCATGTAGAAATGTTAAAAAGCTACATTTTATTATCAAGTAATATGCAGTATACATATCAGTAGTCCTCACTCCATCTCTGACCCCTGTTTTATGCCTTGCCCCGTAACTGAACGTCACTCAATCGCCAACTCCAAAACTAAGGCTCATCCCATCCCATTCTTCACTTCACCCATCCACATTACTTGGTAATACAGTATACATTTTAAAACCTTAAAATTTAAATGGCTTGTTTTTATCAAAAGGAACTTCCTAGGAGCAAAGAAAGCAAAAATTAGAGTAGGTTAGATTTTCTACAATTGGTATATTATGGAGGAGTTAATATGTGTATAGAAAAAATATTTCCCTGGTATAAAAGTTTGGCAAAATGGGATAAAAGTAAGTAGGTAGATCTCTCTACTTCATGACTTTTAAACCTTTAATACACAAATGTGCAGTAGAGAACTACCTAAATGAGATGGTACAGTATTTTCTAAATTTCTTTGATCAAAAAATACCTTTTGGACTTTTTTCTTCATTTTTTTAAACACATATCAAACTTCCAGAACTGTGGGAAGCACTATTTGATATTTTTCTTTAAAAAAAAAACAAACAAATAAAAAAAAAGCTTCTAAATCACTCTTAGATTAACATAGCTATTAAGTAGGTAGGAGAAGCAATACACAGACCATTCAGATATTTGGCAAGTAAAACTCAAAGAATGCCTAAAAATATGAGTATGTAAATGTAATCCTATAAAATCAGAAAAAATAATTTCCTAACCAAACTCTAGAGTATACCTTAATAAACTCTGAAGGAAGTTGATCATTGGGTAAGGTGGTACAATCTATAGTCATCTGGATAAAAAATCCTCTAGTGGAGCTAAAACTTGTCCTTAAAGGAAGACTATATTTTTCTGCAAGTTGTGATATCATTCCTAGTGACCAGAAAAAACAAAAATACAGAAATTTTAATACAAAAATTATTCTTTCTGTTTAAAAATGTCACATGTTTTTTGTCTTGTTATTTTATATATACATAACAAGGTCTTGCTATACATTTAAACTCTAAAGATTCTTAATGTGTAACCTAGTTAAGTATTCTTTTCAGAAAAAATATGTAGAGCAAAAGTAGTTATTTTGATTAGTATTTTGAAAGTAAAAAAAATTGTAAAAATTAAAATTAAAATATAAAATTGGGTCACGATGACAGGATAGGTAAACATGGTTCAACCCCCAGCACAATGACTTCAAAATCACAACTAACATATAAAACAATCATCACTCAGAACCATCAGAAATGAAACTAAATGGGAGTCTGGCGACTTTGGAATTAGAGAAACCACATCCATCCAGACTGGTAGGAGGGGTGGAGACACAGACCAGACAGGTCCCACATCCATGTGTGGTGGATAAGAATTCAGGAGAGAGATTCTGGGAGCAAGAAGTCCCAGCCCTTAATCAGGCTTCCCAACATAGGGTTCCAGCACCAGGAAAACAAGTCCCCAAAACCAGCGGGGATTAAGTCAGTGGAAGAAACGTCTAGAGTCCCAAACAGTTCCTCTTAAAGAATCCACACATGGACTTAGACTTATTCCCTCAGAGCTCCAACACCAGGGTAGCAGCTTGAAAGGTACCAGACATACAGGGAGGAACTGAAGTGTCAGGCATCAGGGTGAGAGCTGGGGCACAGCTTTCTCCCAGGCAGAAATGCAGGCAGAGGCCATTGTCCCTTTTCTGAACTTTCTCTCCACAGAGCCAGAGAGATGAAAGGCAGGTGCCATATCTGAGACTTCATCAACCTGGCTAACACTGTTGCCCCACTCTAGAGATCCCTGAGACTCTGTCCCATCCAACTTATAGGCCCACCCAAACTGTTAATAGTTACTTTTTCTTATGAATCGCTAGCCTTGGTTCATGCTTCACAACTTCCTAAATCCTATTAAATGAGCAATAGCTGGCCTCAGTAAGCCCCTTGCTCCCATACCACTTGCTAAGTGGCTCCTGGCCTGGCACTAGCTGCAGCCAACCTAAATTCACAGGTCGGCTTTGCCTGGGAGCCTCCAAGCCCAGCACGAATAGCAGCCATCTGCAGATTGCTTTATAGTTCATGCAGGGTGGCCCTTGGCAGAACACAGATGGGGGCTGACCTTGGTTTGCACCACCCTGGAAACCCCAGAGCCTGTGTACCTAGTGGACAGCTATAGACCACATCAGAGTACCACCACCCTGTTCTGGCACAGCTGATCCTCCATGGAGGATGAAGGCTGACGGTCAGTGGTAACAGCCAGTCCTTGTAGCTGACTGGCCTGGGTAAATCCCTCCCGTTGACCTGCTAACAGCAATCAAGGCTCAACTACAGGAGAAGGATGTACTCAGTTCAAATGAAAGGCACACATTGAGTACCCAGCTTCGGTGATAGGCGAAGCTGTACTACTGGGCCCTACAAGACACCTATTACATTGAGCTATGCCACCAAGACAGGGAGTCACAGCAGCTCTACCTAGCACATAAAAACAAACACAGGGAGGCTGCCAAAATGAGGAGACAAAGAACATAGCCCAAGTTAAAGACAGATCAAAACTCCAGAAAAAGAGCTAAACAAAATGGAGATAAGCAGTCTATCAGATGCAGAGTTCAAAACACTGGTTATAAGGATGCTCACGGGACTGAGTGAGGACCTCAACAGCATCAAAAGATCCAGTAAGAAACAAAGAATTCACTAACTGAAATAAAGAACAATTTACAGGGAAACAACAGTAGAGTGGATGAAACCAAGAATAAAATCAATTATTCCAAAACAACCAATTGAAACAGCAAGAAGAAAAAAGATTCCAAAAAAACAAGGATAGTGTAAGCAGTGTCTAGGACAACTTCAAGTGTTCTAGCATTCACATGATAGGGATGCCAGAAGGGGAGTAGAAAAAGCAAGAAACTGGAAATCTATTTGAAAAAATAATGAAAGAAAATATCCCTAATTTGGTGAAGAAAATAGACACGCAAGTCCAGAAAGCAGAGAAAGTCCAAACAAGATGAATGCAAAGAGGTCCATTCCAAGGCACATCATCATTAAAATGCTAAAGGTTAAAGATAAAGAGAGAATCTTAAAAGCAGCAAGAGAAAAGCAGTTAGTAACCGACAGGGGAGGGCCCATAAGACTGTCAGCTGATTTCTCAAAGAAATTTTGCAGGCTAGAAGGAACTGGCAAGAAATATTCAAAGCCATGAAAAGCAGTAACCTCCAGCCAAGACTGCTCTACGCAGCAAAGCTATCATTTAGAATCGAAGGGCAGATAAAGAGCTTCCCAGACAAGAAAAAAACTAAAGGAGTTCATCATCACCAAACCATTATATATGAAATGTTAAAGGGTCTTATTTAAGAAAAGAAATAAAATCAAAACTATGAAAAATAAAATGGCAAAAAATACATATCTATCAACAAGTGAATCTAAGAAACAAGCTTACCAAACAAGAACAGAGACAGTGTCATGGATATGGAGAGCGCTTTGAAGGTTGCCAGATGGGATTGGGGTTTCAGGGAATGGGTGAAGAGGTGAGAGGATTAAGAAGTACAAATAGTTAGTTACAGAATAGCCATGGGGATATAAAGTATAGGAAATGGAGTAGCCAAAGAACTTATACGCGTGACCCATGGACATGAACAATAGTGTGGGTATTGCCTGAGGGAGTAGGGGTTGCTGTGTGGAAGGGGGCACAGAGGGGGAAATTGAGACAACTGTAATAACATAATCAATAAAATATAATTAAAAATAAAAGCAAGGCTATTGTATTAGGAATATTATTTTTTGATTTGTTCATTGTTTTTTTGAAAAAATACAAATTATTGCAATAATTAATTCACAATGAGAAATTCTCTCTATCAAACATATATTATAAAAGATTCCGAAAAGGAAATTGGTGATTCATCAAATAAAATTTAAAAAATATCCAAACCTCCCTACCAACTTCAAACCCAGTAGAGTGTTCTAAATTTATATTTTTAACATGATGACTATTAATGCTTTGAACATTACTTGAGAAAATGTACATCTTTATTCCTAAAGCAGGTTCTCCAACAACATTCCTGCTTTTCTCAGTAGTACCACCATTTGCAGGAGACAAATCTCGATTAGCACCAGTTGCTACATTCCCCTTTGCCATGGCCACATTTATTCAATTCATAACTCTTATCAACTCCTTCTGCAGTCTTTGTTTTTCTGTCCTCTCATATACATAGCTCTTACCCTAAATAATACTTTAAGTTGTAATAGATTAAAACGGTCTCCCTGTCTCCACAGTTCCACTAATTCATTCAACACATCCTCTTGATCCATTTCACTCCACAAAGCAAAAACATCTGAGTGTCTCTTCATTCTTCTTGGGAAAAATCCAGACTCCTAACCTTTAAAGACTAAATTCTGGTCTCCAGTTTACATATATGATCATATCTCTTACTAGTTCTGTAAGAGAATGCCCTGTTCAGTCCTAACACATTTCTTCACTATCCCTTGAGGTTTCCTAATGTCTTTGTGTTTCAGTTTGTACACTGCTAGTGGGTGAAATTCCTCCCAGGCTATTCTACCTACCAAAAACAGTCCCACCCTCTATCCAGTCTCTCTGACCCCTATAACCGGCTATTATTTTTCTTCATATGTTACATTCATGTGAAATTATAAGGTATATGTACTTTATACATATCAATATTGATATATGTAATTCTATACACTCGTGTACATGTGTCTTTTTTTCTTTAATGTCTGTCTCCCCTATTACAACATAACTTTCATGAGGACAGGGGCTTTGTCTTGTTCCCATGTATTCCCGGTACCCAGAAGAGTGTCTACACTTATTTACTAAGAGCTCAGTAAAAACAGGGATAGACAAAGTAGGTTTACAGTTGTTCATATGGAAAATAATACAATAATTAATGAATAATACAAGAATAAACTTTGTTTCATGTACTCACAACTGTAAACTGACTTTTGCCCACCCCTTTATTTGTTAAATTACTGTACTAGTTCAAATGCCACCTCTTCTAGACACAAATGATCTCTCTCCCTCCACTGATACACTTTAGTACCAACAGCTTGCATTTTATATGTAGTTTCTACACAGTGTTTTATGAAAGTACCTATATTTAACTTTGAAGGAAAAAATAGACATAACACTTTGAGACCTTTATTTTTTTAAATGTTCCATAGATGATAGTATGTGTTAACCTTACCTATTTGATAACAAAAAAATAAATTAAGAATATGCATGGCAGGTTATCACCAGCAAAAAAAGCCAATTGTGTCTTGAAAACCTTGTTTTATTTCTAAAAAACAAAAAAATATGCCCAAGTAATTAAATTACCTGCTATGTCATCTACAATCTCTGTATATGTTCTTCTTGCTATGTCAAGAAATTCATTTATGTTAGACCGCACTGCATAGCACTTCTGAGTCCTCATGTTCAGGCATCCTTTCATGTATCTTGCATCATCATTAATTACTGTTTTGATCTTCTCAAGTATGATTCCAAACCTAAGAAAGAATATTATAGGCAATAAGTCAAAAAGCTGTAACTTATAATTTGAGTCATAGTTAATGATAGCAAGTAATATTTTTTAAATCACTCTTTTAAATTACGTTGAAAATAATTAAATAATATATAAACTTAAATTTACATTCATTAGAACTATGACTATGTCAATTTTAAACTACTTTGTTGGTCAGGACTAGACTCCTAAAACAACATAAGGCCACCAAGAACAATTCTACACTGCTAATAAACAGAGTTCCCAAACTATACATATTGACTGTGTCCATGAATATAAAATACCCCTGAAAAATTGTTATAAAAATTCTGGCTTCAGCTTATTGACTCAATAAACATGTACTTATATCATGTATTAATCTCTGTGCTAGATACAAAGATTCAAAGAAGAATTAACATATATATGGTCCTCTAACTCAATTGGTGCAAAGGAGACTAAATATATATTATGAAACAATTTAAAAGTGATTAAGTACAATAATCATGCAAACCAGAAGACTGGAAACACCTGTTTCCCTAACCTTTTGTTTCATTCTGTTCTGTATTTTATTTGCAATTAATTCAGTCTTATTATGATCCTCCATGTGTGGCTTTACACAAGATCTGAAACTTAAATCGATAAAATAACAATTCTTAAGTATTACAAGTCTTTTTGGTTAAGAACCAAGTTGCTGGTGCAAAAACAATATTAAAATTAAATTGTATTTAGACCTTATGCAGTATTCATACCTACTAGTTTTTGGTTATATTAGGCCCTTCATGATTTAACAAGAGAAAAAATATGTTTTTATATTTGTGAATATTCCCATAGAGAATGGCTAAAAAAAGATATTAAAATTGTATGTGATTTCAATTTTTAATGCTAGTCTAACACAAATACTCAATGTACTGTTACCCTATTTACTGATATTAATAAGATGAAATGTATAGGTAGAATTTTGATGAATAGTTTAAAGAGTCTATTAAACAAAGCTGAAGTAACTATTCTGCAGAATATAACTAGAGTTCTTAAAATAAGTTACGATCAGGAAGAAAGGAAGAATCTGATAATTTATTAACAGTTGAGTGACAAAGACCTCTTATCTTCCAACGATCCATAATAAGCTCTTAATAAAGGCATGCGACAGTTCTTCAGAGCAATCTATTAAAGGATAAAATAAAGTTAAGAATAATAAATTATGACATTATTCATACATAGCATTTTACATTTGTTTACAGCTTACCAAGTGCTTTCCTGTTTCATCTTCGTGTTTATATACTCATAAAATATATTTTAGGTATATAAGTGAAGACAGAGTATCTGTTCTGTTTTCCATTTAAAGAGCACAGGGCTGACAAGAGGCCTCCATTTTTCTTGCCTCCCAACTAATTGTTAATATCCAACTGTTTATTAGAGGTAGGTACAATACTTAAATAGCTATCATTGTACATTGGCAATATTGTACATATAGTTCCAAATTTGCATTAAATTTACATTAAACTAAAAAAAGTGCTTTCTCCATTCTATGGTAAAAGTAGGTGTTTCCTTTTGCTTAATGGAAATTATAAGTAGTAATTATTTGAATAAACAGAAAAGACAAGGATAAAACATATTTAAACTGATATTTTAGTTTGTTATGAGGCAATGGCAATATTTTTGCTTATGAATAAAAAATAATATTTGTACAGTGATAAAACTAAAAAATTCATAAAAGCATAAAGAAAACCATTTAAATCACTCATAATTCTACCACCCTTCCAAAGATAGTCTAAATATTATACATTTCCTGTCATTTCTTTAAATCAAAAAATTGTATCATTGCATGCTCCTTTTCTCTCCCACTTAATACTATATCATATACATTAAAAACTTTCTGTAGCAAAAATTTTAAATAATTCCTATTATGTATTCCACCATGTGGGAAGCAAAGTCTCTTCCCCTGCTTACTGGAGCTCTATGCTATTTATATTCTAATATACATAATGCTGCACTCACCATCGCTGGGCATAAATCTTGGTCAATATACCTTGAGTCTTTTCAGATAGATTCTAGAAGTAGCATTACAGGATCAAAAGACATCTACTTTAAAACTTTCCTGTAAAGCATACAATTTTACTCCTACCAGTTATGTAGTTGCCTGCCTCAACTGTTCTCTCATTAGCAGTAAGTTGGCAACCATTAAGAAGAAAATATCTTTGCTTCTATGGTTTGGAATTTTACTTCTTTGACTAATAGTGAGATCAAGCACTTTTGGTACTATTTATTAACTACTTTGATTTCTGTTTGGGTGTCATTTTCCTTTTTCCACTGTCATTCTAGTATTTAAGAATTACACAAGTATTCTGATGACAAAAATTAGTACTTTGTCTTTCATTTGCTATAAACTTTTCCTATAATAAATTTCTCTGGTTTTTAATTTGCCTTTGACATTTAAAAATTTGAAATTTGTTTAATAAAATCTGTCAATTTGGGGGGAATATTTATGACTGTACTTCTTTCATTCTAAGAAAGATGACAATACTTTTGAAATCTTTTGCCAAATTGTTTTCATTATATATACATATTTATCAAAATGAACTCTATAAAATTCTTCCACACTTTTCATTATTTTTTCTTTTAGAAAAGCAGTTCCTTTTGTCACTTATTATTTTACAGATGTTTTGTACAGGATAATATATAAAATCAATGAGAAAATTGTCATTTTGGATCATCAGAGTAATAATTCAGGTAAGAGTTGCAATAAATACTAAAGTCAATGAATGAAAGGTTGATAAGAAACAGTATATTTATACAGTTTCAAAGTATCTCTCCATATATTATTTATTACTTTAAAGAGAAGAAACTGATCAAAGTTAATATTGCCAAGCATAGAAAATTACTCATGAGGAAGATACATTTTTACAGAGCATTACTGCCAAATATGCATAAGCTGAATTTAATTAGAAAGAAACAATCATACAAATTGAAGACTATCCTAAAAAACAACTGACCCTTACTCTTCAAAATGTCAATATCATGAGATGAGGAAATGCTGAGAAACTTTTCAATTTAAAGAAGTATAAAGAATAGGACATTAAATACAATGATGATCTTGGACTAGACCCTGTGGCAGGAAAAAAATCCATAAGTACATCATTAGGACAATTGGAAAATTCTGAATATGGGCTATTCACTATATAACAGTAGTCTATTAATGCTACATATCCTGAATTTTATAATCATGTGTTTATGTAAGAGAACATCTTTGTTCTTAGAAGAATATACACTTCAGTATTTAGGTACTACAACCTGTTCTCAAATAGTTCAGTAGGAATAATAATAGTAAGGATAATAATGTGTGTGCGTGTGTGTGTGTGTGTGTGTGTGTGTGTGTGTTAAATGTAAAGAGAGAGAATATGGAAATTAATTATACTATTTTTTTAACTTTCTCTAAGTTTGAAATATTTTCAAAACAAAATCTTTAAAAATATTTATGCCTAGACATGTTTTGCAGACTACAAACACAAAATTACCTTTAAAGGATCCACAAGCTCCAAGGTATGTTTTAGGTATATTAAATTCGTTATTTTAGATTCAGCTGCATTAACCTATTAACATAAAAATCCAAATGTGGACATCATAAATATTTAATACAAAAATGGGTTTTCCTCTAAAATGTTCTACGCTTATCATATTTCATACATCTTTATATATCAACCTAGCCAGGATGCCTGCCAGCTTAAACATTATTTGGAAATTACCAAGGCATCATATTTAGAGTAGTGGACTAGTCTCCTCAAATTCTGACAATGAAAAGAGTTCACCTCATTGTATTCCAACTTTCATTTCTATTCAAGTGCTTTGGTTCCACCGTTTTAGCCCATAGCAGTGACAGGAGATACATTTCATTTCTGAGCAGCACTAAGAGACTAGGATTAATTGACAAAGGCACAAAGAGTATTTTTGGCTAGGTAATACCTGAAAAACTGAATCCAAACATTTCAGATTATGGAACAATAAAAGTTTCCCTCAACAGTTCCTGTTAGTTCAAGTAAAACAATTTTCATAAGTCCGGTGGTCCAAATTAAACACAGTTTTTCAAAATAAAGCAACCAGTATCCTAAATTTCATAAATGAAGTTTTTATAAATTAAATTGTAGTGCTATCTCTAAAGTTGAGTAGTGATGAGATGTCCTTGGTGATGGACTAATTTACTAATACTGACAAGAACTTTTAGGATATTATTAAGACATAATAGTAATTGATATGGAACCGTTTCTTTCTGAAAACTCTGACCTTTATCCCTGTTGCATACACTGTACCTGACCTGTTCTGTGACCATATGGGTCCATTAAAAAAAAATACCAGAATGGAGGTTTTTAACCCTAAAACAAGTTATCTCCTGCTCTCTTATAAGGGATCTCTGAAATTACTGGGAGATTAAAAATAAATAAAATTCACCAAACAGAAGACAACTGTTATTACTGTTACCAAAGAAGAACATCTTCCAAAATAGACAAGATACTCTTGTAAAAGAACAAGGTAGGAGGACTAAATCTAACAAATATCAATTTGTAATGAAGTTAGAGTAATTAAGAAGCTGTGATATCAGCACAAGGGCAGAGACCAATGAAACAATATAAGAATCTGGAAGACCCCGTAATATGAGTACTTGATATATGACAAATGTTGAGTGCAGAACGGTGTGGGAAAGGACAGATTTTCCATAAATGGGGCCAATACAATTATGAATCCATATGAGAAAAAATAAAATGTAGTCCCTCCCTCATGCCACATACAACAATCAATTCCAGGTAGATTGTATATCTAAATATAAAGATTAAGGCAATAAAACTTGGAATATAACACAAAAGAATATCTTCATTACCTTGGGTATTCTAACTTGTTTTTATAAATTTCATAATTAATTACTTGGCATCCACTAATCACAGGGACAAACTAATGGCTAACATTGTTCACATCTTCCCCATAATCTGGCTTTGATGGGTGCACAAAAATCTTATTATAAGCCCTCCAACCACAAGATCCCACATCTGTGTTTTGCTTTCTACCCAAAAGGGGATGTTTCTACCTAACAATTTCCCATAATAATACCTGTGCAATGTTTTACCCTCACTCTTTTTGACTCCTGACCAACCCTGGTACTTCTCATGTGACCCTGAGACATGCTTCCTCTTCTCAGGAATAGCAAGTAATAAAAATCTTCTTTTAAAGGCATTAACCTCACTATGTCATCATTCAGTCATCTCCATAAATTAAAATTCCATGGGTGCAATCAAGACATTGGGGTAGATAAAAACTTCTTAAGCAGCATACAACAAACACTAACTACAAAGGAAAAAAACCCCATAAACTAGACTACATCAAAATTAAGAACTTCTTTTCATCAAAAGATACGATGACCCAGGAACAGTTTCAAAAGCCAAAGCCAACCTTGAGAAACTAGAATTTGAGGGCAAATAATTTATTTGAAAAGTAATTTCAGTAGGCACAGGCAAAGGAGTATTAGAAGTAAGAAGGGAAGAGAAAGACAGAAAAACAGGATGCATTGAAGATCTTATTACTGCTGCTTGGTACTATGGTTCAGTCCTTCTAGGGACCTATCAGAGGTGGTGTAAGGTAAGCTTCAGAAGCAATCTTCATAAGTAAGAAAAATGGGATCTTTATTAATCTACTCCTGTTGAGTACTGGTTATGACCTATTGATGGAGCAACAACTCGAATCTCTCCTGAGGCCAGAGGAAAGTCCTCAGGCAGTGAGTTTCAGCTGCTTGCAGTAGAAGCCTTCCTTGTGCAAAAGAGAATGCCAAGGGAATACAGGTAGAACACCAACAACATCCACACCATAATACTAAGTGGCAAAAGCAAACTAAAAGGAAAGAAAAGATATTTGCAATACAGAACCAATAAAGGGCTCATATCTAAAATATAAAAAGAAGCTCTACAAATCACAAAAGAAGATAAGAAACCCAAGAGAAAAAATGGGCAAAAGGCTTGAACAAAACTTTCACAAGAAGTATTCAAATGGTCTATGTACATATGAAAGGGTGTCCATCTTCATTACTAGGAAAGTGCAAATTAAAACCACAATCAAATACCATTATTTACCAACCACTATGGCTAAAATTTTAAAACTGACAATATCAGGTTTGGGGAAAGAATAATGAGAATTCTCATACTCTACTGATGAAAACGTAAACTGTGCAATCATTTTGAAAAACCTTTTGGCAATCATTTTGTCATTATCTCCTGAAGTTGAAGATATACATATTCTATGACCCTAAAATTCCACTCCTAACTATGAACCTAGTAAAAATATGTACAAGTTATATTAAGAAATAGATACAAGACTGTGTGCCAGCATTATTTCTAATTGCCAAAAACTGTCAACAACTCAAAAAGTCAAATAACAGTGAAAGGACTAATGACATATTCATACAGCGAAATATTATACAGCAATGGGAATAAATGAGCTACAGCAACAACATGATTAAATGCCATAAACATAATATTGACTATAAGAATCCAGATATCAAAAACAAAAACTGAACGGTTACATGGAAAGATTTAAAAACTCAAAATTAAATTATAAAGAAAAACAAGAGTGATTACTAAAAATTGGGGGATTTTTTTGAAGGGAGGTAGAAAATAATGATGGGAAGGAGCAGAAGGGGGATTTTTGAAGTAATGGTAATATCTATTTCTTTACCTAGGTAGTCATTACATGGATGTTCATTTTGTGAGAAATCAATGGGCACTGCATTATTGTTCTGTGCAGTTTTCTATGTGTACATTTCTCATTACTTTTTAATAGATCTAAATATGGTAATACATACAAAGAAAGGTAGGAAGAAAACAAGGAAAAAGGTACTCTTCTGGAAGGCAAATGAAGAAAATATTTGAAGGAAGAGATTGTGCTCTTCGAATTTTGCTAACAGGTCAAGTGTGATCAGCACTACCATTAAGTATATTGGCTTTAGCAATGTGGACATCATCAGTGGCCTTAATAAGAGATGCTTTTGTAGAATAGTGATGATGAAGATTAGATTGTAATGGGTTCAGGAAAGAAAAAGGAGAGTAATTACATCAATTGCATCAATTATAAGTAATCAATTACAGGTAATTCTTTCAAGGAATTTTTTTGTAAAGAGAAAGATAAACAGGAAAGAACAAGCAGAAGGGGGTAAACTGACACAAACAACACGGGAAAAATTCTGAAGTACTGTCCCATGAAAAGGTAAGAAGTTGTGGAATCAAAGACCCAAGTAAAACTGTTGGCTTTATGCAGGAGGATAGACAGGCAAGTTATCCACAGCAATGAGAAAAGGTACATGCTGGTAAGTGTAGATAAAAGTAGTCATAGGAGCTTGTGGTAGTTCTCTTCTGATTTCTTCACTTTTCTCAGTGAAGAAGGAAGCAAGGTCATCATCAGCTTAGAATCAGGTGGGGAAAGGAACTGGTATTAAGGTAAAGTAACACCAACTCCTATAATATACACTACCAATCTCAAAGACTTAGTATAACAGTATTTTATTTTTTTGTTCATACAAATTTCAGTGCAGTTCTGATGTAAGTAAGAGGGAGGGCAACCTTCCATGCTGCCATTTAAGAATCCAGGTCTTTACTATCTTGTGGCTCTACCATCCCTCTGCTGAATCCTCTGTATCTACCTAGAAGAGGCAGAAAGAGAGAATTCTCTATGGATAAGATATAAGCTGACATTTATCACTTTTACTCAAATTCCACTAAACAAAACTCAGTTATTTCTTCTGGAAGGCAGTCTGAGAAACATAGCCTGGCTGTGTACCCAAAAGGTAGAGAAAAGGGATTTTGCAGTCACTGCCGGAGAGGTGCTGAAGGTTGAAGAGGAAAGAAGATGGACTTAAATAGTTTCTCAGAGCATAAAAAATAGCAAATGGACAAGAAAATATAGAATGACTGCTGGGCATCCTTAAGGGCCCTCTGACTATATGAGAGTCAAAAGCGGTGATTTTTAGGAAAAATGATCTGTATGGCAATAAGGAGCAAGGAGGACATAAACTCTAACCTCCTCAGTAGGAGAAATATGAAGAGGTCTGCAAAACAGCTGTTACAATAGGAGATACAGGTTTCAGTTTCAGGATGAAGGTAAGGAATAAGGAGATTTTGCCCATAACTGACCTTGAGCGCTAGAGGGAAAAAGGGGAAAAAATGGATACGAGGAAAATAAAGACAGAAAAGCTGATGTACAGAGACACATGGGAAGTAGAGTCCAAAATGAGGAATAATTTAGGAGTACTAGGTACCTTGTGGTGATTTACATGAATAGAGATAAGGTCAAGAGGAGATCATTCCTGACGGTTCAAAAGCAAATACATTTATTTGTAAAGATATATGTACTTTTATGTTCATGGCAGTATTATTCATGGTGGCCAAGACCTAGAAACAACCAAAGTGTCCTTTGATATATGATTGGATAAAGAAGATGTGGTTGATGGTACACATATACAGTGGAATACTACTCAGCCATAAGAAAGATGAAATACTGCCACGACATGGGTGGATCTTGAGAATATCGTGTTAAGTGAAAAAAGGCAGAAAAACCCAAGAACCATATGATTTCACTCACATGTGGAATATAAAACTGAAAGCAACAAATGAACAAACAAAACAAACACTCAAAAACTCAGAGACACAAACAACATTATGGTGCTTAACAGAGGGAATGAGGGATTCAGGGACTGGTAAAAGGTAAAGGGGGTCAAATATATGGTAGGGAAGAAGATTCAGCTCTGGGCGATGAACACTCATGCTGTATCATAGAACTGTACACTTAAAGCCTGTATGATTTTATTAATTAATGTCACCTCAATAAATTTAATTTTAAAAATGTGGAAGAAAAATAGTGGTTCATAGAAACATTGGTTTACACAAACAATAAAAGTAAAGGTTGGTGGAAGGATGGTCTTGACAGACGCAGGAAAAATTCTGAGGCTCCAACTGACTCTTGCTGATAGAAATACAGTTTTGTAAAGCAATTGTCTTACTCTGCAGACACATGAACAATCACTTGATCTCTATCTTTTAGTGTGTATAGCAGTGATTCTTAACTGGGGGAAATTTAGCCCCATAGGGACACTTAGCAATGCCCAAAGACATTTTGGTTGTTAAAATTAGGGGGATGTTATTGGTATCCAGTGGGCAGAACCCAAAGATGTTGCTAAAAATCTAACAATGCGCTGGACAACAAAAGATTTATCCACCCTAAAATGTCAACACTGCCAAGGCTGAGAAATCTTTCTGTGGAAAAGCTGTCTTACTACAAGCATAGAGGCACTCTCTTAACTTTGTATATCATTGGTGATTTCCTCCCTGTCTTTTCTTTTTCTGTCTCTGTCTCCAAACTTTCCCTGCCTTGCTAGCTTTGAAGAAGCTGCTCTGAACCTTATGGTGCAAGAAACTGAATGTTGCCAACACCACACAAGTGGAAAGGCAAATCCTTCCCTGGCTGAGTATTCCAGATGAGTTTCAAGCTTGGAGGACACCTGAACTGCAGCTTGTGAGCCACTAAGCAGAAGACCAAGCTAAGTAAGATGTGCATAGACTCCTGACCCACAGAAACTATAAGATAACAAATATTGATAGTTTTAGGCTGTTATGGTCGTAGTAATTTGTTATACAGCTATAAAAAAATAATACAGAGTGTCTTTGCAGTTTGCTTCTTCGAAACCAGCAAAAGTCTCTCCATGAAGAACTGGGAGACAATTCTCTACTGGCCTCTACATCTCTATCTTGTGAGCAGAGGCACTGACTGCCTTTGTTCTTGAAAATCCTTTTATGGATGTCTGTAGAGTGGATAGGCTTGAAAGATATAGGACAAAAGGCAGGTTTGCTTATAGTCTTAGAAGATTAAAATGGCGCCATCCTCCAGAACAGCAGGCAAGTATGTGTATTTCCCATTAGAGAAGGTTCAGGTTCTCTAAGCTCAGTAATTCTCTCTTACAACATATGGTACATGGGAAATGGAACATGGGGAACCAGTACAAGAAAATGCTGGTATCTGGCTACTACTATTGCTCTGACCACTCAAGCCCTTTCTCTCTGACCCAGGAGTCTCATATCTTCTGTCAGCATCCATGAAACTGTCAGGCTAACTTGTTAGTTTGCAAGCAGGATAGAATATCAGGTCACTTACAGTTCTTGATAGTACTATCTGTAATTGCTTTTTTTTTTTTAAACCTAAATCTCACACTGGATCATAAATTCATTTGGCTTAGGGACTTACTTCTTTAGTATTCCTAACACTTATCTGTTTGGTGAAATAAAATGACTTGTTGAATGAATGAAAAAAGGAGCCATGTACTATTACAAATATTCTATATGGCAGTCTGAAATCAATAGAGAAAAATTAAAACTTATTCAAAAGAAGCAAGCAAAAAAACTTGGGTAAAACTTGAAAAAAAAGTTTAATGTTGATATTTTCAAATATTAAAGAATTTTGGATGTTTATAATGAGAAACACAAACTTTCTTAATACAATACATTAAATGGTATAATCATAAATACTGCATAGAAAGAAAAGACATTTGAGCTAATTCCAATAAGAAATTTTAAGCATTATTCTCAGTAAATATTTATGATCAGAAAACTGCATTTTCTAAAATTAATATTCTTAAGGGAAACTATAATATCTAATCTTAGGCAAGCAATTCCACACTGGAGATTTTCAGAGAACATTTAGCTTATTCAGAAGTTGTTATTTTAAAAGGCATAAAAATCTAGATATTAATAATGAAGTGCTTTTCCAAAATCTCTTGATATTTTCCAACTTTACATTACATTAAGACAAGTTATATCACGCCCTGGTCGGGTAGCTCAGTTGGTTAGAGCCAAGGTTGTGAGTTTATTACCTGGTCAGGGCATATACAAAAAGCAACCAATGAATGCAAAAATAAGTGAATGACAAATCAATGTTTCTCTTTCTCTTTCTCACTTTCCCTCCTTTGTCTCTCTCTCAAATCAGTTTTAAAGAAATTAATTGTTATAATGTATAATAATATAAAATAAAATATATAGATAAACATACCGTGTCTTGCTTTGGAATTTGGACTAAAACAGAAAGAAGCTGCTCAGTATCAAGAAATCTTGATATAACTGAAATAAACAAAAAACATGAGCATTTAAACTTTGTTACTGTTTAAAATACAGACTATGTAAAATATCCTCAAATAATAAAATAGAACTGTTCTACCTGCAATATTGTTTTGTCTTTATCTATCTTATATGTTCCAGGAGTAAGCCAATAAATCTTAATTGCCATTTCTGAATTTTGATTACTTACAATCTGTCTTCCAAACTTGACACTGCAGATCACCCCTTCCTTATTGAAACTCTACATCTCTGGTTTTTTGATGTTGCTTACCATAATTTTCTTCCCACTTTTTTGATCTCTAACTTTTCTTCCTGATACTTAAAAAGATTAGTTTATAAGCATAAACCACTAACTATATAATCTTCCAGAAGTTACCTAACCTCTCATTTTTTTAAATGTGGATAATGACTTCTACCTCCTAGGGCTGCTGTGAGGATTGAGATAAAGTGTGTAAAGTACACCACACATACCAGAGTTCAAAACTGTTATTTTATTCTTCTCAACTGATTTTCCAGATTAAAGGATTCTATAAAAGTAAATGTATAGAAAATTATAATCTATCCCTTTTAAATATCCCTAAGTTGTTGTTGTTTTTTTTCCTTAGACATTTAACATACAGGTCTTTCCAGAAAGCACTCATTTTTTCATACATAAAATATAATAAACTTAATGACTCATGGTTACCATCATCATTGGGATGTGTAACCCCAAAAGACTTTGTTGTAGGCTTATTGACACTTTACAAAGTGGTCCCATCCTGTTTTCCTTTAAAAAAAAAATGTTGTCACTCTCTTCCTGTTCAACTACCAAGTCTTTTGATAAGTTTCAGTTTGCCTTCATCTAGCACTGTGTCTTTTGCTAATTTGCCATTTCAACAGTAAATTATATTTAATATGTTTTCAAAAATTAGAATAAATAGATTCAGTATATACTATTTTTATACTCTTCAATATGACATAGCTATTATGACATTTTACATGTGATTCCACTAGATTCTTAAAGCTCTCATTTAGATTTCTCTCTTTCTTTTTCAGTTCCTTTTGTCTTCCTTTTCCTAAATCTGTCATGACAACCAAAATAATGTTTCTAAAGTAAGGATTTGATTACATTACTCTCAGTTTAGAACTGTCAGCTCCCTGAGTTTTGCATGGTAAAATCCAAATTTCTTAGCATTATATAAAGGCCCTTGATAAGCTTAACCCCGGTGCTCACTTCTTGCCATTCCCTGAGGCTTCAAGTCATAAATAAGTACTGGCCATACCTTAAATACAGCAAACTTTTTTTTTGTATCAATATAAGTAAAACTGTAGAAGCTTATTTTAGCTCTACCTTTCCCAACTTTCCAGAAAAGTGTAACCTAGAAAGCAACGACTATTCAGGATCACAGGCAGTGGGACTCATACCAGATCTTCATCCCAGCTACCACATCTAATAAATATTTCTGTTACCCCTATGTGCATCAACATGCCTTACACAGGCATGTTCTCTTTGTCTTGCAAATCATTTCTAGGATTCTTCTGTTGTCAAAGTCCTCCTCATTTCCTTAGGACAGAGCTGTGAATCCCACTGCATTATATCTTTATCCCATTTCCCCCTCTCTGTGTTCTCATAAAATACTCAATTATTACTGCATTTATCACATGGCGTCATATATTGGAGTTTGGTTTCCCTAACATGAATGTAAGATCCTTGAGGACAGAAAATTATAGCTTAACTTTCCTTATGTTTTTATCCCTAATACCTATAAAGTGCCTATAATAAAGTAGGTACTGATTTTTTAATGAGGTTCAGACTCTCATATTTTAATAAACTATAAAAATTATTCTCCCACCCTGCTGTATGTTTGTGTTCTAGTTTTTACATGTTATGATAAATTATAAACTGTCAAGATATAAAAAAATATAGAAAAGGAGCCTGACTAACACTTATGATTAAATGACTTTTAATATTCCTGGCACTTATGTATTACACGAATGCCAGGTATAGGTGGGTCAGTAAGATGTTGCTGTGAACAAGAAAAGAGTTATCAGTTAAAAATAGCTTCCTTGTACCTTTCTCAAAGTTTTACTAAATATACTGGAATATATTTTAACAGTAAATATATTTAACAACATTGAAAATGCAGTCATGGTCAATATAATGCCAGAATTTTGAAGGAACTATACTAATTAAAATTTACTGGCAACTGCATGGAGGAAAAACTGTTCAGGCTGTAAATGTCTCCTAGAACACCAGGAGGGGTGGTTGGGGAATAGGAGTATGGAAAACAGACCAAGCTCCTAGAAACCGAGGATTGGACTAGGAATGATGCATATTAACTTATTCTTCCACCTACAGGTTTAAGAAGAACATTGCACTGCCATACCAGTGAACAAATAGCCAGGTACCAAAGGCAATTCTCTTACCTCATGTTATAGGTTGGATTGCATCCCCCAATAAGATTTCGAAGTCCTAAATCCCAGTACCTGTGAATGTGACCTTATTTGGAAATTGGATCTTTGCTGATGTAATCGAGATAAGATAAAGTCACTAGGATGTGCATCAGTTTGACTGGTGTCCTTATAAGAGGAAAACATATATTTTCTAATAATTTGTATTTATAAAATTAGAGGATATTCATTTACCTGACTGAAGTCCAAAAAAGAGTTCCTCATCTTGAAGCAGTTCTTGAACACAATCTAATCTCATGTTAATGGTTTCAATATCAACTAGAGGTTCTAATATATTAGAACGAAGCCTTCTACCCCCTCCCGGAGTCTTAGTGTAATTCAGAACACCAAAGAGAGTGTGGTTATTCCTTTGAAAACACAAGTTTGAATATTTTAATTAGGTAAACAAAAGAAAAATTCAAGAAAATTGTAATTTAACTTTGTAATTAATCCTGTTAGAGAATCCTATAATCTACAGTAGTGATTCTCAAAGTTTAACAGGCATACAAATCATATGCATATTCCGATTCATCAGGTCTGGGATGAGGCTTGAGGATCTACATTTTAAATCAGCTCCCAAGTATGCTGTAAGTCAATGAACCATAGTTTGATTAACAAGGATCAACAGTATCTTATTATACTTAACAATTTTTTCCATGGACATGGACAACAGTGTGGTGATTGCAGGGCAGGGGAAGGGGTATGGGCAAAGGTAGAAGAGGGCATGGGGGGATAAATAGTAATGGAAAAAAATAAAAATTAAAATTAAAAAAACAATTCTTTTCATAGATCATTTACTATATTCAGACTACTATAAAATGTTCTAACTCATGGCACTCCATCAGTAATAGCATGATATCAATAATAATTTATATAATAAGAATATAATTTTTCCTGTGAAGAAAAGCAAATAATAATAATAAATCATTAAGGGGGAAAGAATTTTTACATTGATAATATGAGTATTTAATATAATCACTTGGTTCTAATTTAAGAAGTTAGAGAATTATAAATGAAAGAGAAAGAAAAAAAAAGAATTTCAAGTACAAAAACTGATTTTAAAAAAAGCAGGCTTCTGGTCAAGATGGCCATGTAGGTAACTGCAGTACTTGCAGCCTCCCACAACCACATCAAAATTACAACTAAATTACAGAACCACCATCATTCAGAACTGCCTGAAATCTAGCTGAACAGAAGTCCTTACAACTAAAGATATAAAGAAGAAAAGCCACATCAAGACTGGTAGGACAGGCAGTGACAAGGAATACATGTGGTGGATAAAAATTGGGAGCACTCTTGCTGAGGAGCAAGGAGTCCCAGCCCCACACCTGGCCCCCCAGCCCAAGGTTCCAATGCCAGTTAGAGAAATCCCCATAACTTATGGCTGTAAGAACCAGTGGGATTCTGGCTGAGTGAGAACAAGGGCTGCTAAAGTCCCAGGGGCTCCTTTTAAAGGCCTCACCCCAGCCCCCCTGCAGAAATTTACTAGAACTCACTCCTAAGCTCTAGTGCTGGGGAAGCAGCTCTCAAGACACAAGGGACACACGGGAACTCAATTGTAGGGCATCAGGACAAGAGTGGGAGGGGCAGCTTTCTCCCAGACTAATGTGCTAGCAGAGGTCACTGTTCCTTTTCTAAGAACCCCCAACCCACAGAGCCTGCAGGCACTGAATCTCAGTCTCCATCAACCTGGCTCACAATGTTCACCCAGCCCTGGTGATTTCCTAAGACTCTATCCCACCTAACTTGGGGGTCCACTCAAGCTGTTTCCAGTCACTTTCCCATAAAAATGGCTTTTCTTGGCTCATCTTCAGACTTTCCTAAAATCTTTCAAACAAGCAGCATCACTGTGCCCCATACCTCTTATTAAGTGACCCCAGGACCAGCACTAGCAGCAGCCAGCCTTGGTTTGCAGCTTGGCCTTTCCTGGGTATCTCTAAGTCCAGCACAAGTAGCAGCCATCTGCAGAGTGCTTTGTAGCTCATGCCAGGAGGCCCTGGGCAGAACACAGGAGGCAGCTGACCTTGGCCTGCATCTCCTAGGAGGTCCCAGAGCGAGCGCACCCAGTGAACAAGCTTCTGACCACATCAAAGCACAACCCAGCTATCTCCGCAAGTGACACACGCAAAGGACAGACTCAGCAGGCACCCGAGTCCTGCTGAATTAAGTCTTGCTTCATGGAGTTGGCCCCTGCATAGCTGACCCTATATAGATGATGGTGCTCATATCCAGTCCTTGTAGAGGACTGGGCTGGCGATAAATCTTGCTCATTGATATGCCAACAGCAATAAAGGCTCAACTACATAGCCCACACAAAGGCAGGGGTGGGGAGGTGATGCACCTAAAGTGCCTAGCTTGGATGATCAGGAAGGCTGTGCCACTGGACCCAGCTGATAGTACACAAAGCTGAGTGTGTAGCTGAGGACAGTACACAAAGTCCCTGTAGGCCATGGTAAAAAGTCTGAACTATACCCTGGTGGCTCAGTGGATTGAGCGCTGGTCTGCAAACCAAAGTGTCACTGGTTCAATTAACAGTCAGTGCACATGCCTGGGTTGTGGGCCAGGTTCCTGACTGGGGGCATGTGAGAGATGACCAATCAAGGTTTCTCTCACACATCAATGTTTCTCTCCCTCCCTTCCCCTTCTCTAAATAAATAAATAAAATCTTTTTTTTTTTTTAAGTCTGGACTATATTCTAACAGTTAAGACACTGAAAGGTTTTAAGCAGGAGAGTTCCAAGATCCTATTTCTGGTTTAAAAAGATAACACGCTAGCCATTAGGTTGATAATAGACTAATTGTAGGAGGGTAAGAAGAAGGCAGAGAGACAAGTTACAGGCTACTAAAGTAGTCCAGACTAGCATGATGAACATATGTATCATCATGTATCATTAGGGTTGCAGCCTTGAAGATGATAAGAAATGATCCAGAATTGGTATGTACTCTGAAGGTTGAAACAAGAGGATTTTTTGATAATTGAATCTAGATTCAAAAAAGAGAGGAAAACAAGAATGATTCTTAAGTTTTAGTCATCAGAATACCTGATTTTTTTTTTTTTTTTGGTTATATCGATTTAAACAAATTCTTAAACTACTCAAAGTATGTCCTGGCTGGGATTTCTCATCACGGGCACTTTTTTTTTCCCCCCTACTTTTTGAGAACTTGGCTTCAGCAGAAACAAAGGAAGTTTGGAGCACACCCAAACCTGCCACTTTCTGTAGAAATCAACAGGTAAAACAGTGAACTAAACAAGTGACAAGTCTATGGAAACATGAAAGCTATTCAAATAGTTCAGTGTGTAGAATATCTGTTTTTTAACCTGACATTCTTTGATGGATATTTGTGAAAAGACCTCTGTTTCTCCTTTTCAACTATCATATGACCACCTGAAGGTAAGATATCATATCATTTAATTTATAACAGGAACTCAAGCAATGTTAGGTAATGATAAACATTGGTTATGAAATGTGACAAAGTGAAACTGAGTATAAAGTATTGTGTAATAATTATTAGGCTTGGTGATTGACTTTCTATGTTACTGTATGTTATTCAATGATAGGATAATTTTCCCAAATAACATTATTTTAACACTTTTTACCTAGCAATAGGAAAAGTTACTTATGTGTTAAGCTGAAAAAGAATATGTACAAATAACTGTAAACTCCCAAAAGGACTATAATATTAAACCATTATGACTCACTAGAACTGCAGAGAAGGTGTTGAGGTCACTATACTGATGAGTAACTAAAATTAGTATGTATAATATTAATATTACTTTTACCTTTACCAAAAGCAGTACCAACAGTACCAAGATAGACCTAAACTGTTCTTAATGATTAAAATGAATAATGAAATTAAATAACCTAGGTTTCTAAGTCTGCAACACCAAATAATGTCTAGAGATTTCACATAATCAAAAGTGAAGCCAAGATAATGTACAATGAAGTGACAGAGAAATTTAAACAAATATGACTCTAAATTGGCACTGAGCACTTTAAGATTCCAGTTGTCTCAATACTCTTCATTCCCTTCAATTATTTCAATACTAAAATTCATAATCATTTAAAATTTACCCCTTTAATTCATGTCTAAAGTTATATTTAATTACTGAAAGCTGAAATTAACTGCTCTAAGCTTACCAACTCCCCCCTTGTATTTAACAATCAGTAATACTCAATAGCTTATAGCTTCTTTGCACATACCATATTGTTATATTGAAAATCATTCTTTCAGCCATGACCAGTGCAGATCAGTTGATTGGGCACTGTCCCACAAAGCAAAATGTCACCAGTTCAATTTCCAGTGAGGGCACACACCTGGGTTGCAGGTCAGGCCCCCAGTTGAGGGTGTGCAAGTATTTCTTGCACATCGATGTTTCTCTTCCTGTCTTTCTCCCTTCCTTTCCCCCTCTCTAAAAATAAATGAAAACACTTCCGGCCAAGATGGAGGCATAGGTAGATACACTTTGCCTCCTTGCACAACCAAAAGAAGGAAAACAACAAACTTAAAAACCAAAAATAACCAGAATTGCAAGAAAATCAAACTGTATGGAAGCCGAACAACTAAGGAATTAAAGAAGAAACACTCATCCAGACCAGAAGGAGGAGCAGAGACAAGCAGCTGAGGTGGAGAGGATACATAGCAAGGCAGCGGCTGCAGGATTGGAGGGACTGACACGGTGGCTGGCAGACTAGGCTGTCCCACATTTGTGTGGAGATAAAGTGGGAGGAAATGCTGGGGAGCAAGACAGACCGCACAACCCAGGGTTCCAACTCAAGAAAAGAAAGCCTCAGAAACCCTGGCTGTAAAAACCTGTGGGGGTTGCGGCAGTGGGAGAAACACCCAGCCTCACAGGAGAGTTCCCACAGGAGAGACCCACAGGGTCCTAGAATGTACGCAAACTTACCCACCTGGGAACCAGCACCAGAAGGGCCCAGTTTGGTTGTGGGTAATGGGGGAAGTGACTGAAAGCCAGCTGAGACCCAAGCAAGCAGCATTGTTCCCTCTTGACCCCTCTCCCACATACAGCATCACAACTGTAGTGACCTGGGTTGCCCTGCCCTGGCAAATACCTATGGCTCTCTCCCTTCCAATGTAACAGGTGTGCTGAAGCAAAGAAATACGGCCCAAATGAAAGAACAGACCAAAGCTCCAAAAACAGAACTAAAAGATGAACAGATAGCCAACCTATGAGATGCACAGTTCAAAATACTGGTGATCTCGATGCTCACTGAATTGGTTGAGTATGGTCACAAAATGGAGGAAAAAGTGAAGGCTATGCAAAGTGAAAAAAAGAAAAATATACAGGGAACAAACAGTAAAGGGAAGGAAACCAGGATTCAAGTCAATGATTGGGAGCAGGAGGAAGA